TAAATCTGATATATTATTAAAATCCATACAAGCAGGAAAAATTACATTTGCATTACTTTTATGTAAATGGAAGGAAGAGAACCTCCGCTCACCTAACCACAATACTTACCAGGTTAAAAATGATAAAGCACGACTGATGTGTAATAATGATGGTATTTAGCAGCAGATCGAACCAACGCCTACAAGCTCTCTGTGCCACAGTGAAATGTGGATCACCCACGTTACACGGACAAGCTACCCTTCTCTTTGCCAGTCTGCCCCAGGGAGAAGGAGAAGTTGGTCCTATAATGAATTTGCCTCTAGTTCAAAAAATGGAGTTGAAGAACAGTCTCTGTGGATTCTTAAAAACTGGCTGCACAGCTGATTATTTTTGATATGAGAGAGATGGAAACTAGAGTTTCTTTCTGTTGGTTTTCCATGCATCTCTCTGTGTTGCAGTCCTTCTCCACCGCAGTGTCCAGGAGATGGCTACTCCAATCATGCTGATCTGAGCCCCAAGAAAAAGGATGTGATCCGTGTGAAGAAGTCCAAAGCATCAGCAAACCTCTGCCAGTGTGGGCTGCACCTGCAAAGGCTTCCCCTCCAGACTGCATTTCTTCGTCAGAACTCTTCACAGGTGAGTTGGCCAACTGCTTTCATGATCAGGACTTGCTCCAGACGATTCTCCCACGCAAACGATAGCTGGGGGTACCAAGCCCTAATTCTGCCATGCATCACTGTTCAGCCACTCGCTTTCCATGGGGCCATGCAGAACATTGTGCGAGGGACTCCCAAATAAGTAATGCAGTTTGTCTGTCTGTCAGTCTGATTTCTATGCCACCTGAGAGCTGACGCTTTCCCAGCAGGGTCTGAATTGCCCGTTAGCACTAATTACACTCCCAGTCTGTGGGGGCAGCATCTCCAACTGACATCAGTTCAGACTTCAGGCCAGTAAACAGAATAGGCAGATAATTATCCCAAATTATTCATCATCTGCTCCGAAAGCTGGGACAGGTGACTGAAGCTCAGAGAGAAACAATATTATTTATTTATTTATCGATTTATACCCTGCCTTTTTCCTACAAAGGGCTCAAGGCAGCTTACATCATTCTCCTCCTCCATCTTATCCCCACAACAACAACCCTGTGAGGTAGGTTGGGCTGAGAGTCTGTGGCTGGCCCAAAGTCACCCAGTGGGCTCCATGGCTGAGTGGGGACTTGAACCCGGGTCGCCTGAGTCCCAGTCCCATGCTCTGAACCACTGCACCACCCTGGCTCTCAGTAGAAGGTCAACGGCACAGAGGACAAGTTTAAGTGCTACGTAATTATGCGCCAGTCCATGGACACCGCCTGTGCTTTTAAAAAGCAGTGAACTCTAGAACTTTTACAGTGAGGTTTGTTGCATACTGTATTTTCTTCAAGCTGCCGTACGCCCCGCAGAGAGCTGTGGCTCTTGGGCCACGTGGACATAATCCAGGCACCCAGAGGCTGCAGCCTCTTCCGAAGGGAGCACAGGGTGGCATTACTGGTCACCTCCCCCACGTCCTGCCTGCCTCGTATGCCTAGCAAGCAAACTGTTGATTCTGGGCATCACATCAGACACGCCTCTCAGTGCCCCACCGACACTCGCCTTTGCTCCTCTCCGGCAAGCATGGCTTCTGGCTTCCGGGATGGCCTGTTGGCCACGTGCGTGTCCGGCACCTGCTGGTCTCCCCTCTGTGCACAGCAAGGCATGCTCGGGGTGGCTGGACAGGCCATCCTGTGGGCTGTTCCTGCGCTGGCCCCAGAGCCGGTTCTCCGCGTTGGGTGAGCAGCTGTGCCTGGGAGCCCCCGGCTGACAGACGGAATTTGGGAGCCCAGAAGCGACCTCACTCACCCAAACGAGCCAAGGAGGCAGTGCGGAGGGAGGCCGGCCAGCAGGCCTCAGAAGGGCAGAGGGACGTGGACTGAGCAAGAGTCTGTTTCTGCCTCCTTGCACTAACTCCCCCCTGGCAGCACGTTAGTGAGCAGCAGCACAGCGGAAGGGCGTGTGCCCCGCCCTCCCCAGAAGCCGGGTGGCACACGAGACCCATGCCTGGCAGCCTCTCCACGCTGAAAGGGCACCGGCTGGGGAGCAAAGCGGCCCTCGGGACAATTCATGGCCCCACCTCATCCTCCCAACGTTGCCCGTGTCATGATGCCCACAGCATGCCCCAAGCGGCAGCTGAGCTGCCTGGCGCCAAAGGCAGGGGGGCTGATGCTGCCCCCACTCCTGCAAACCTGGGTTCTGCAGCCCCCTTTCTCACCTGTTGCTTTGTGGAGTCCAGGCTGGCACGCGGAGGAGCCGTGGCCCTGCCCAGGCAACCCACGGGGCGCTCGGTCAGCACCTGCCACTTCTAAATTAAGGGTAGGCCGAGTCTGGTCACCAGCAAGCCATGATCTGGTGGAAGGCAGTTTCTCGTGGAAATAATGGCTTTGGGCTGAAGAGAGAGTCCAGCAAAATTACTGTTTCTGTCCTAGGTCAGTTGCTCTTGGCCAGTCACACTTTTGGAAGGCTATAGTGGTTTTCTTTGGAAGAACACACAAACAGTGGTGCCGATTGGGCTTCTGATTTCTCTGCATCTGTGTATTATTCATTACATGTTTTCAAGTTGGCTGCAAGTTTGTTTTGTCTCCCAAAATGAATGTGGACATTCCCCTTAATGGGCTCTTATGAAAGACTAACAACAACAAGAGAACAGCATGAAACGGCTGCAAAATAGAAGGCAATTATGGTGCCAAAAGTATTATTGCAAAAATATTTAAACAACCAAATAATACATGGACTTTGCAATAAAAATGCTCCAAGTTGGAGCAGCGGTCTCATGGCGTGCTCTCGTATTGTTATTCTAAAAGGTCCCTCTCCCCTAATACTGGGGGGCTTTTATTTACTGGGGTGCAGTCCTTGGGGAAGAAATTACACAGCAGTGGTCATCTGATCAACCAGATCTTTGAAGTCCTTGTTTCCAAATCTATGGAATTTAGCCCGCAATGCAGAAAGGAAATGGTGAAGCACATCCTGTCCTGAGGCAGAAGGGTGGCTGGAAGGAACTTCCATGGCGAGGACACCGAAAGCTCCCAGAGACCCCCACGCTTCAGCGGGAATCTTGTGGAGGACAGGGCCTGCCCCGTCCAGAAACAGTCATTTCCAATAACCATTGGTACATGTCGGTTTTTATTGAGAAGTTCTACTCCGTAATGATTAGCACTGCTTATATTAGCACCAGCCATACAGATCCAGGTTTGGGTGGTTTGTCTTTTGTGCTGCTATGGATCTATGCCCAGTCAAATCCTCTCTGCGTCTGGGCAACCTATGGACGGGGTTTGCCTCGCACAATAAGCCGCTGCCCTGACAAGCCACAGTAGGTTGGCCTGTGGTCCAAAGCTAGCGCTCATCCAGCAGAGTGGCTTGCAAGCCGTCCCAGTTAGCTGTGGCTTGTTGGAGGGTTCAAGGAATATGCCGTGGCTGATCACGTCGCCCAAACCCAGGCAATGAAGCCAGCCGTGGCTGAGCCAAGAACAGCCCCCCCTTGCTCAGAGAGGGGGAAGAGCTTGCAAAGGGCTGCCGGGGGACCACCCTTCCTGGAGAGCCCCAAGTGCCAAAGAGCAGCTGGCAAAGCTGGTTGTAGCCACGCAGCTTCCATGCTGGCTGCAACCTGGACATCCGCTTTCACAGAGGTATTCCAAAAGTCACAGTTATTGGGAGTTTCTGCAATCCTGCTTACGGGTGCCCAGGGCGTGTGTCCCACACAAGGATGCCTGGTGGGTTTCTCTGGGGCGGGGCTGCCCACGATTGCACGCTATTTAAGAAACCCTGCGCAAGGGCCGGCAGCAGCACGGCCAGCCTCTGTGGCCTCCGGGTCCCTTCATAACGCGAGCTGCCCTTTGCACCCGGGAGGCCGGGCCCGCCAGCAGCCCCGAAGGCCTCCCGGTGGAGCTCCGCCAGCCACGCTCAGCGCCAAACTCCTGCCGTCACCATCACGGGCAGCCCCGCAAGGGCCCAGGACTGCCGGGCATCCCTGCGGGGCGCCTCCTAGATGCCCCTAATCGGGATCCGAGGCGGCCCTCCCCATCTGGATGCTCATGTCAAGTGGCGGCACCGAAAGGGGCTCAAGGCTGCAGGTCCCCGGGGTGCTTCAGGAGGAGCAGAGGGGGAGGGACGCCCCCCCCCGGTGCCTGACCAGCCACCAGGCGGGGGTGAGGGTCATGCAGCGCTTGGGTGACTCTCTCGGGCCGCTGCCTGTTGTGCGAGCCCAGCGCCGGAGTGGCAGCACCAGGCACCGAGCTAGTGGGGACTTCAGATGTTGAAGGCATTTTACACACTGACTCATAGGAGTGTCAGTGATCTGTGGGTCAATTCTTCTAAATCAAATGTGCATATGGAAAAGGCCACTTCCGAAACAAGAAGCATCCTTTCTAGTTTTTGCTTTTTGCTTTTTTGGGTGGGATCTCAGCGGACACGTCTCTTGGAAGCAGGGAAGGAACTGGCGCCTCGCCGGGCGGTGCAGCTCAGCTGCAGGGCAGAAGCACCAGCCGGTCTGCACATTTTGAAAATCTACCGCCCAATTACCAGGGGATTCATTTTCAGCTGATTTTAAAAACCATCTAACTGATACATTGCACTACTAGTTTGATTTTTCAGTTTCATTTTCCTGTATTTTGTATATTGTTCATTTCTCTCTTGGATGCTATCACAGAGTCACATAATTATTTCAGGGGGAAAATGGGAGTGACAGGAAAATCTGAAGAATGCTGATGTGTTTTGAGTCTCTCTTCAGTTGGGAAAAATATGAACTTAAAAAGGAGCTTCCCAAAATAACATTGTCATATTATTGCAATAAATAATAACTGCACCCTTTCCTACTTTTGTCATCCTATGGAAAAATTCTGAGCATTCATGATCACATCAACACATGTGGGGGAAAAATATATATATAAGCAATCAGAAGCCAGACACATAGTTATCATATACCGACATTCTCAATTTGTAAGTGCTCAGGGGATTACATATTTTCAGTGTTTTATTTCCTAAAACTGTCTGTACGATCTGCAGCATTCTAAAAGCTTTTGAAGGACCAGGAACTCCTAGGCAGATCTCCCGTTCTCAGTTCAGTGTATTTGCAGTTAAACAGTCGCACAAAGTTCTCTTCTCCACTTTAAAAAGCAAAGTCTCTGTCTGCATGAAAAGAGAGGCGAAGAGAGAGAAGAGAGAGAAGTGCCATCAGCAAAGGCAAACTTGGCGACACTTCAGCGCAGCAGCTCGTCGTCTCCTTTGTTTTGCTGCAGATGAGGAAGCCGGTGAAGTGGCTCTGAGCGGTCAGGGTGGCTTGCGCAATGCAGCGCCTAAACGCAGCAGAGCGACACGCAGTTGGGTGCGCTGGCGAAGGGGGCTGCCCCCAGGGCACAGTGGGCACGGCTGAGACATGTGGTGCTTGGGCAGTGCTGCCCGCCAGCTGGCAGCCTCGCTGGCCAGAGGCGGGAGGCCGAATGCGGGAAGCTCTTCCCAGCGCCCTCCATCTCCCACCCCTCCAAACAAGGGACTCGCCGAGAAACTTCCAGCTTCCGATAATGCGTTTGCCGCCACACACCATTTCTAGTAACAGGACACGGCCGCTGGAAGGGGCCACCTGGACTGGCTTGTCCAACTCTGCTTGGCTCAAGGAGTCCAGAGCAGAAGCGCCCCCGAGCAGTGCCGGCCGTCCAGCTTCTGCCTGAGGACATCCAGGGAGAGACGAAACACACGAGGCTCCTTCAAGCAACGGATCCTCGGATCCTCGTAGGATCGGTTTTCCATCCTGCTCCCCTCTTGGGGAGCCTTTCCAGTCTTTCTGCACCCTGGAAGTGAACGGTGCCCTGCTGGACACTGCACTTGGGGGCCAGGGTCTGGCTTGCCCCTCTCGAGACTTCCCCGCTGAGGCGGGGCTTCCCTGCCGCTTCAGGAGGGGTCTGGAAGCAACACGCCGGCAGCCCTGTGCTCTAGCTGCCCGCTTACCTTCTGGCTGCCGGACAGCTCACGCCCTTGCTCTGGGGGGACGTTTCCTGCCCTCTGGGAGTGCCCCACCACCTGCGGGCTCCATGCCAACGGCGCTCTCCCTCACGCCAGCCCTCCGCTGCAAAGAGCCGCCCCTGAAAGCCCCGCTGGGCACCCCATTCAAAGCTACAGAGCACCCGCTCAGCCACCCCAGCCCGCCTCCTCTTGCGGAGCCGTGGCTGAACCAGCGCTCTGCCCAGCAGCCGCCTTGGACGGAGCGCACCGCCCCGCGAGGCGCCTGCGCGCGCTCAGCACAGCAGGGCAGGAAAGGGAACCTTACCCGTGAGTCTAAGCTGTACGCCGTCTTCTTTAGGTCTTGCAGGGCCCTCTGCATGAACTCAAAGGCGTGGCAGTCGACGCATGGGCGACCTAGAGGAGGCGAAGAGGCATGAACAGGGGCACAGGAGTTCTGCGCAGGGCTCCCGGAGGAAACGTGGGGCAGCCCCAGTCGGTCCTGCCCCACGATGGGCACAGAAGAGGCTGTGGGGAGTCACGGGGGCGGCTCTGGGCGGCTGAGGGCAGCACCTTGCCCCTCCCCAAAGTCCTGGGCCAGGCAGGGTGAAGGGGGGAGAAAGGCCCACCTGCAAGGAGCCCAGGGTCTTGACCAGCACGGCCATCGCAAGATCAGTCTCTGAGAAACATGGACCATTTCTGCGAAGCGCTGGGAACGGGCTCTCTGGCTCGGGGGCAGAGGACGCTGCAGCATGCGCTGCGCTCTGCTCCTGGGCACAGAGCGCAGCACAGCCCCCTCCCAGCGCCGCAGCAGCGGATCCACCAGGCCAAAGCTCTGGGCCTCTTCTGCAGCGAGTGCCCCTTCTGGAGACGCCACGAGGGGCCTCACGGGCCTCGCTCGCCCATCACGCTGCTGCTCGTGACGCCTTCTTCTGGGGTAGGCTGCAGGGCACATGCCTGGCCCTGGCTGAGCCGGGGAATGGAACCCCACAAGCCCCCAGCCCCATTCCTAGTGCTGTAAAAGTGGCCTTGGCCCAAGGGAGCCACACCACCACCACCAACAAAAATTGTTCCAGGTCACGTGCACCTCACACAAAGAAGGGAGGGCTTCCACAGTAAGCACCCACCCAGTGAAGACTTAGACTACAAGTCTTGTTCCCGCGGTAGCCATACCGATGAGGCCATCACTGCCCTGTGCTACACACACGGAGGCCCCGTGGAGATGCTGTTGGCCGGTTATGCTCTCTGGCTGTGCCCCAGCATGATCTGCCCGGGAAAAGACCTTTGTGCCACTTGTGGAGCTGTAAAAAGGCTGGCTGAACTCTGGCACTGCAGCCCCATTTTACCTGCGATCTTCACCGGCAAGGCGTGCGCTCTTTTCCACAGATGGAGCACCCGCTGGATGGAGCACCTCCAGTGGCCCTGGAGCCACGTGGCGTGAGCTGTGGCAAAGGCAGGGCATGGGAGGGGGCTCAGGGTTGTGCCTGGGCACTGCCGCGCATCCCAGGGGCTGCGGACTCTTCATCCGAGCATCTCCGGGCTGGTCAAACGGCAGAAAACAGAACTGAAGCCCCTTGGCTTTGTGGACAGGCCAAGTGCAAGGTCCGGTTGCTGTAACTGCATTTATTTGGTTCCTAATTCAGAAACTATTTTGCTTCTTTAACAATTGTCTTTTCATTCTCTGTCTTTTAATCATTAAGCACGAGTGTCTGCTTTTTATTAATCTGATTATTAAATGGAAATGGGGACCCAGCGTCCTATCTATCTGAAACCTGGAATGCCTGGAACTCAGCGGCTGGGAGCATTCTCAGCACACCAACAGCGGAGAAAACATTGAATCCACACACAGAAGCATAGGAGAGTCTTACAGGATGCCTGCCACTTTTGGAACCCAAACTGAACATTTGTTTCTTTATCTCTTTAAATTTAGCATGTCTATATTTAAAGTAGGGGAATTTTAATTTGGATGAGAAATTCCAGATTACAGACAGCAAAATAGCCACGCCTCACCTAGTTCCTGAACTGACTCTGTGAACTCCAGGGGGGAACCCATTCCATAATTTAGAGATAATTCCCCGCAGAGACCCAGCTGAGGCCAGTCTCCAACTAGGGAGGTACCAGGGACTCTTGCATGGGGGAAGGCTGCATGTGAATGCGCCTTCGGAAATGGGCACACCCGTCTCAGGGATGCTGGCAAAGGATGCAGGGCTGACTCACTGAACCCAGGGGCCAGTAGGCTGGAGAGGCTAGATAAGGATGCACCTACTTTCAGCAGGAACTGTGGTGCCCGATTCTTCTTCAGCTGCAGTGGGATTTGTAGAAATAGGCCCCATGAGGAGTATTAAAGGAACTAAAATGACCACTGTGCTTATACAAGCCGTCAGCATCTTGCTAGTGTGGTCTTCTGCCGTCACTGGGAAAAACAGAAATTAAGAGCAAAGCCATGAGGACAGTAAGAACGTGAAGCGCCTGCCCTGGGTCAGTGGCGGGAGAAGCCTCTTTGCAGCTATTCCGCTGGGCAGAAGCCATTCCCTGTAAGACAGGCGCTGCTGCAGCAGGAGGATGGACTCCCTCATGCGGCGTCTGCTCCAGCCACATGCACGCCCTTGTAAGCAGGGCTGAGGCAGAGCCAGGCCAGCATCTCACGGGTTTCGTAGCAGAGGCGAGAGAGGATCGTTCCGCTGAGCCCCCGCTGCAGTTGCTGCTCTGTCTACACTGGCACGGGCACGGGGGTGGGTGGAGGCGAGCTCCCAGAGGGCTTATTCAGACACGGCTAAAACATCGCTGGAGAACCTGTGACGCTCCAGGGGCCGCAGGCTCTGCGGTACTTTTCCGCACTCGGTGCTGCCATGTTTCGTAAGCAGAGCCCCTTCACGCTGTGGGAAACGTATTTCCACGTTGCACAGTTCTGCTTTTTAGCCAGCGGACGCTGGTGGGACTGAGGTCATAATCTTTGCTGCAGACTAGCCTAGCTTTGTCTGCCATGCCTAGAAGGGATGCATGGCTAAGGCTTGCTCTCCCGTGGTAGGGCAGGACGGAGGCGGCTGAGTGAATCGGCGGGGAGCACGGCGGCAGCCCGCAGAGCTCGGCCAGGCACCGGTGCAGAACACTGCTCCGAGCGATCGCGGGCTGAGCGTCATGCGCACGCTGGTGCAGACGGGGGCAGCGCGACAGTCCACTGTGGCTTGTTCGCCCCCCTGCCCCCGCTTGGGGCAGGGCATGCCCTGGGGACCCAGCAGGTTTGAGTCACGTGAGCCTGCAGTGGCCTGTTTTGGGCTTGTGTGCAGGCTAACCTTCACGTGGCCCACCTGCCCTGATCTCGCCCGACCAGAGAACCCCTTAATGCGATCCGGCGGCTGAAGGCAACGCAGCCGGCCCACGACAGGCTCGGGTGCCATCCAGACCCGTCCCGGCTGAGGTCCCAGGATAAGGGGAAATGGGACCAGAAGGCTCTTCAAGACGACAAATGTTCACAGCGGTGGGAATGCGAACTGGGAAGACAGAATCGTGGCCGGAAGCAGTCCCACCGTCAAAAGCAGTGCTCCAGACGGAAGCAACACCTCAGCACAACAAACCGGAGATGTTATGCAAGAATCCTGATCTAATATACACAAAGGGAATGCCTAGAATCGCAACCTTAGTCTTTGGAACGCCTGACTGGGACGACAGGCAGGCTGCTCTTGCCTATCTGGCTCCACTAAGCGGCAGCTTTGCGCATGCACAGGTGCCTGTTTGCAAGATCAGCCTGGCACTCCTTCTGCAGCGTCAAAGCAAATGGCTTACTGCAATATATTATTTCATGTCATTGCCATGTTTAAAACAGCATTTCAACTGCAAAAATCTGGGCGTATATAAATCCTCAGAAAAATGCCAATCTATCACATTTCACTCCTGTTACCAAGCATTTGCCTACAAAAGCAACCCGTCTCCTTTCATATATATCAGTGCTGGCTGCCGCCAAGAAGCGAGCTTGGCTTCCGCCTTTGTCGGAAACAGCACAGGGAGAGCTCCTCGCATTACTGTGCTGAGGCAGATGCCCACCGCCCTCCCAGGCCAGCTCACTATAGCAGCCCCAAGTAAGGAAAACACCCGCTTCAGACCGGTTACCTTGCAGTTTATTTATTGCATCGTAAGTAGAAGCATCAGTACAGCGCAATTCAGTGACGAATGACGGTGGCTGATAAATCAGCACGTGCTCTTTTCAGCATTATAAAATGGAAAAACATCATTTCAAGACATCAACAAATGTGAAAACAGCTGTACCTGCTCTCTCCCCTGCCTTCGTGGTGGTCTCTCTGAATGGCTGCTGCAAACTGCGAGCGGAGCATGTACTGCCGCCTCTCTGGGCATGTGCGCTGCCTCGCTTTATCCTTGCCTGGAAGAATCTGCCATGGCAACACCAAGGACGGTGCGGGAGGGGGGCTCGAGGAACAATGGCCCTCCTCCTTTGCCATGAGCCCCACGGCTGCGGAGGAGCAATCCACATCCCACAAAGTCTGTATCATGTCTTGCACTAGACACGATGCCCTGAAACCTTACGAGGCTCTGCCAAAATACCAGACATTCGTAAGCAGCCTCTTCCGCTCTCCAGGACTCTTGATCAGCCAAGACGCTGAACACCAGGAGCAGCGGTGTGGGGACGAGGGGCGAGGAGCGAGGGGAGCGGCTTTCGCCCTTCAGTCTGCAGCCCCTAACATGGTGCATAGAAAGCCTCCTCGGGCAGGCAGCCCTGGGCCAGCCTCAGCAGACGCGCCCACAGCTGTGAGGAGACAAAGGGGAGACGGAGCCATGTTTGCACATGGCTGGTCGTGGTGCAGTTCCGTCGCCAGCCATGGCTGGAACGTGCACGCCTCGGTCGCTGCCCTCCCTTTCCTCGCTCAGCCGCACATTCATCTCCTCAAGGCTTCCTTCTGAAGTTTGGCTTCCGAACCACTGGATGCAGACAATCCAAATAACTGCAATTAAAAAAGCAATATAATGCAATAAAATTATATTGCAATAATTTGCAATATAAAAGCAAAGAGAACCCTTTGGATTTCGGGCAGCCTGGATACAGGCCGTCTGAGCAAACCTCCTCTGGCATCAAAGCTGGTGTGGAAGATGGTTTCCAAAGGCATTTGTAGAAAGTTTTATGCTAATGACTAGTCTCACAAAGAATGGATTTAGCATATTCTTAAAAACAGGTGAACTGAAAGCACCCAGACTCATTGTCATATTTTTCTAGAATTCTCGCTGAACAAAGATTAGTTGTGCCCATTTTCAGTTTCACAAACACTCAGCAAGCTACTCGCTTTGTCCTCAGGGTTTCTTTGTGACTCTGGCAGAACGCCTCGTGCAGGACGCCATCCCAAGCTCTGTTACGCCAGGTAGAGAACCTTGGGATTTTGTGGCAGGCCTGCCCTTGCATCTCAAGGGCATCACCCTAAAGGACTTCCAGTTTATAATATAAAAAAAATATAAACGGTAGCAGGAGGAGGACAGGCCGCGACTGGCATTTCAGGTTCCCTTGGGGCTTGGCCACACCCTCACTAATAGTGTGGGGCAAGACCAGCAAAAGTGGGGCCCCGAAATCTCAGCCCCTCTCTGCGTGCCCAGCGTGGCACACCTGCAGCAGTGCACATATTCCACGCGGGAGCCTGACCAGGCAGGCATGGGCACACGGTGCACCGATTTGGGTCGGAGAAAGGCCCTTTGCAGCCGCCGATTTAAACTGCCCCTTAAACGGTGATTTAAACGTTCACATGTCTTGGATTTCTTGAACAATGGTGGAAACCTGACCATTGAAACACGGGACTTTACAAAGGAGTCACCCTGACCTGGTTTGCACAACAGGGCAACCAACCCTGAGCAGCAACCTATGGCAGGATGCGGTGCCATCTGGACCCAGCCCAGTGTATCCATGGTGCCCCCCCCCGCCCCTGCCAACATGCCATGCTGAGAATTCACTTCAACTCTACGTTGGCATTGTTATGTTTTAAAAATTTGAATGTGTTGTAAAATGTCTTGTGAGTCATTTGGCTAAAGGAATGGTATAGAAATGCCTCACGCAAGCCAAGCTCACCAAGGGTAAGTCCAGCAGCCAGTGGGGCAGGCCCCTCGCCACTCTTCCAGGGTTTGCCCGGGCCGAGGCCCTGGCTGGCTCCTGCACAGGTGCCCAAGTGACACAGTGGGACTGTCGTCACACAGTGCAAAGCTAAACTGTGGCATTTGCTGCCACAGGAAGTAGTGATGGCCGCCAGTCTGGATGGCTTTAAAAAGGGACTGGAGAGATTCATGAGGGAGGAGGCTATTGGTGGCTACTAGCCTTGCTGGCCACATGCTCCTTCCATTACCAGAGGTGGCCAGCCTGCATCAACTGGTTGCCGAGGGGCTGGGGGGGTGAGTCTCTTGCACCCATCCCGCTGGAGGGATCCTGCAGTCAGCTGTTTTGCCGCCATGTGCACAGGCTGCTGGACTAGCCCACCACTGGTCTGATCCAGCATGGATCTTCCCCCTACCTGCCTGCATAGCTGAACAGCAAGCTAGATGTTGCTGAGCTGGGGAGGAACAGGCCTGCAGCCAGATGGGTGACCAATTATGGAAGTGGAGCAAGGGTCTGACTCAGAGGCCTCACAGACCCCCGTCAGTTCTTATTTCAACAGCCACTAAGTGACCAAGTGGGTTTATTAGAAGGGTTTTCAGTGGTTTGCCACCCCCCGCCCCTATAAAGAAAGCAAGGGTGGGTTGATGTGATGCGTGGCCCCACCATTGTTTCCTTCTCTGAAACCAGGCTTGGCGCTTCTCTGTCCCACAGTACAAGGTTGCATTTACAGAGGGAAGGCCTTCAGAGATGCCCGTGCAGGATTTTTCAGATAACCACTACCCAAACACAAGTACTGGAGCGTGCCCAAGTCAGCAACTTTGTTTTCTGTTTTCCAGTGTCACTCCTTCCTGTTTCAGTCGCCTTGGTCCAGCTCCACCCTCACAAAGTCAGAGTAGCAGGAAGCAGCACCCCCATGCCTGAGACACCCACAACGTTGTGTGATCGCACTCGGCTTTGCTCCTGTTCTCTCCCTTCTAGCACCGGCTGAAGGGCATTAAGTGGAGGCTCGGATGGCGCTGCATGCATAAAAAGCCTTCCTTTTCCAAGTTTAGCTTTTATTTTTCAGCATACAATGAATTGCTCTTGGGAGCGTCTCCTCCTCTGTCGCCCGGCTGGATCCTCTCTGCGGCTGGGGCAAAGGGGGCGGGCAGGCCGGACCCCCAGCTCCGGCCTGCCCTGAATACGGCAGGAGTTGCTCCTGGCCAGGTCTCTGTCCCGCAAAACGTGGGGCCGAACCCGCCCCCCGGAGGGGCCTTTCATGCCGCGCCTTAGCGCGACGCGGCCCCCTGCCGGACCGGGCCTGTGCGCGCAGCCCGTCCTCGGCGCGGGGAGGCCGAGCGGCGCGCGCCCGCTCCGGGGCAGGAAGACCGCGGCGCCGGGAGGGGGCCGGGCGCGGAGGGGCGCCCGAGGGGGGCCGCCGGCCTCCCGCGCAGGACCGCGGCGGTGCGAGGGGCAGGCGCGCAGCCGCGGGAGCACGGCGCTGGGCGGGGCGGGCGGAAGGAGCGGCGCCGCGCCGCGCGGCCTGCCCGCGCCCGTGGAGCTGCCCCATTGGCGCGCGGGCCCGGCCGCGCCATTTTGAGGCCGGAAGCGCCTCCGCGGGGCGGGCGCCGCCATTTTAACCCGCGAGCACGGCCGCGCGCCATCTTGTGTTACGGATGAGGAGGCGGAGGCCCCAGGAGGAGCCGGGGCCTGGGCCGGGCCTCCCCGCCCTCTCGGAGGTGACCGCATAAAATGCCCGCCGGGAGCCCCGCGCTGGCCCCGCCCCGCTCCAAGATGGCGTCGATGCGGGAGAGCGACACCGGCCTGTGGCTGCACAACAAGCTGGGCTCCACGGACGAGCTGTGGGCGCCGCCGAGCATCGCCTCGCTGCTCACGGCCTCGGTCATCGATAACATCCGCCTCTGCTTCCACGGTCTCTCCTCGCCCGTCAAGCTCAAGCTGCTGCTGGGGATGCTGCACCTGCCCCGGCGCGCCGTCGATGAGGTGAGCCGCCGGGCACGACCCGCGCCGCGCCCGCCGCCCGCAGCCCCGGCCGCGCCTTTTCCGGCCCGCAGCCCCCGACGCCCACCCGGGAGAAGCGGCCCGCGAGCCTCTCGGCCCGGCCCGCCCCTGGGGTTGCGCCTTTTTCCGCTGGAGGGGCCGCCCCGCCCCGCCAGGCTCCCCTTCCCGCCGGGCCGCCTCGGCCGGGCGTGCGCGGGAGCCCGGGGCCTCGCGGCTCGGCTCTCTCGGGCGCCGGCGTGCGCGGAGCAGGCCCGGCCGCCCCTTTGTGGTTTCGCCAGCCGCCGTCCTCGCCCGCCGCGATTCAGAGCCCGAAGGCGCGCCGGCGCCTGGGGAGGCGGGCCGGGCCGTCAGTGAGGCGCGGAGCGACGGCCGCCATCCGCCCCGGGCCCGGCGCGCATCCCCGGGCGGCTGTGGCCAGCGAGCCCCGGGGCCAGGGCGCCGGCGGGCCGCGGCCCTCGTCCCGCACGCTCGGCGGGCCAGCGCCGGGCGCTCCACGTGTCCCCTTGGCGTCCGAGCCGGGGCTCGCCCGGCGGGCCGCGGTGCCCCGCGTGGACGGGCCTCGGCACGGGCCCCCGCGCGGCCTGCTCTGGACAGCCGCTGGCGCCCGCGACTGGCGCGCCCGGAGGATGCGGAGGACCTGCGAGGGGCACGCGCATTGCCCGGCGCTGCGGGTCTCCCGAAGGCTGGGGCGCCAGCCAGGGCTCTTCCCGAGGCTTCCCGGAGATGAGGGCCCTTCGGGCACCTGACAGCTTTGCTCGCTTACTCTGCGATCAGCAGCCATCTTCTTCACTTGGGGAGGCTGCTGCTGAGGACCCGTGTGCCCACGCATTTCTGCCGTGTGTGAGGGAAACTTTTGGCTGCAGGTGCTGGCAGTGTTGCAGGTGCTGTTTCAGGCTGTGCTGGTCTGCTCCTGCTTCCTTTGACCAGGGGCTACTGGTGTGTCTTAGATGTTCAGTTTTCTACTTGTGCTTTTCTAGGAGAATTTCTGCTGATTCTTGGGTACTGTGTTCTTCTCTCTGTCATTAAACCCAGGACACCCAATTAGACACCAGCCCACTTGATTAATCATTTTTCTAGTTGGTTTGCTGCCCTAAAAATATATGAACAAAAATGGTCTAATAAACAATGACAAAAATAATAACAAAATAATCCAGCACTCATATGATGATATTTTGCTTTTAAAATATACCCAGAATATTTTCCTTTGCTTTGTACCTTTTAGATAATCTAGCAGAAATACTGAGATGTGTAATGAGATTTCATACCCAGTTATTTCTGCATCCTTGTCTGAGTGGTTGAATTGTTGTGAATAGTTTCCCATTTTGGAATTCATAATTATCTGAACAAGTCCACATACTTAATTGCTGCAAGAACAATTGTAATATTAGTACTAACATCAATGAACAAAGCCTTTATATCACCAAGGAGTATAATCCAAAGTCACTGGTTATACAGAACATACGTCTCTTGTATTGCAGAGTTATATCTGCTTAGAGGCAAGATGCTAAATAGCATTGTAGAGGTTCTTCTGGGCACTTTGAGTAGCTTGTTAACATAAGACAATACATGCCCATGTTATCACAGCCTGCCTGCATGCGTACAAACTGATGTATGTGACAGAATTTACATTATTCTGTACAGTAAATTAATGTATCTCATTATTACATATATTATAGCATGTACATACTATATAGTCTAGAACATGTGCATATTGTATTATATTTCAGAATGAGAGCCATTCTAGTGCAGTGGTTCAGAGGACAGGTCTTGGACCCAGGCGATCTGGGCTCTGGTCCCTGCTCTGCCGTGGAGGCAACTGGGTGACTTCGGGCCAGTCACAGACTCAGCCCAACCTACCTCACAGGGTTGTTTTTGTGGGGATAAGATTGAGAGCAGCAGGAGGAGCAGATCTGAGCTTATTGTAAGAAAAAAGGTGGGGTATAAATCTAATAAATAAATGCTCTCCTGGAGGGGATTTTAGGAGTAGATTGGTATGCACTGTCCAGTGTCAGGTGGTGGGAATGGAACAAAAACCAATCTCTAGTTTTCATACTTCTGAGTCTTCTCTTATTAAACTGCAAATCTTGGGACCATTTAATTTGTAAGGAATCCTCATACTGGATCCCTTGATACCACAAATGATTAAGGGGGACCTAAAATAAAATAAGAGTATTTCTAAATGCTCCTCCCTGCAGTACCAACAGGGAACAGTTGCATATTCTTAACCGAAGTGGAAAGAGTTTTAATGCTAGTTGAGGTTCATATACATTGGACACTGAGCAAATACATTGAACTATTTAATACTATTAATAATAACAATATAAGGAGAATTGAATTTGTTAGTGCTTCCCTATTTGATTGACTCCTTGAGTGCAAAAATATAATAGTATTATAATAGAGATGAATCAGCACTGCCTTAACCTTCATATTCTACCCACTTTGACTTAATAGATAGGGACCCTTAAGGGGTCCTAAAGAAAGTATGAAATTAGTTGCATATAAATTAAGTTCCTCAAAAAATGTATCCATGAGTATTATTTTGACAGAGTTAGCTAACAAAAAGCTGAAACCACACAGTACCATTCCATATGGGAAACCATGGGAGTGGTAACTGCATTATCACAGTTGGCATAATTCAAAACCTCTTCAGCCCAACAAATCCCCAGTGGAATAGCATCCAATTTCAATTTTAGCAGCCCTTCTTTCAGATGGGGTCCCTTGGGGCTCAGTTCTTTTTCTTCTTTGGTCTTTTACTTCCTCTTACCAAGCCATTTCTTCTTTTGGCTTGTGGCATTCTTATTATACTTAAACACAGACATCATTCTGCTGGTCCGTCTTCCCTCCCATCCTTAAGATGCCAGTGCATTATTTCAATTTGTATTTTCCCCTCTAAACCTCCCCTTGGCTTTTCCAGTCAACAAGTCAAGAACTTGGCTATTCCTTTGGCTGCATTTCCTCCCTCTCCCTCCTACCTAAGTTGGGCCAGGGCTTTATCCCTTCCATAGATGAAGTGCAAAAACATCACTGGGCATAACAAAAAAATTAAGGAGGTTAGCTGGCTACATTTAGCTGAGTATTGTTCTTTTGTTTAGGCCAGGAAGGAGAGTTCTACATTTTTATACCTAGTGTCTTCATGTGTTTCTCTAAATTGTTGATATTTAAGGTCAATATCTCTCTTTGGCTTTGATGAGTACTAAAAAGTAGCAGTAAGCCCTGAAGCGTTTTTAAATCGTCCTTTTGATCAATGAGGGCAGTGTAGCGTGATCAGTGTCCAGAAGTTCAGATAGTTGACTCTGGGGGCATGATACTCAACATCGTGAAGAGGCGCAGCCCAACCATTAAAAAGAGGCGCAAAAGGAAGGAGACCAGAATGCAGAGTTATCTGATGCCTCTAGGAATAGGAATGGGATCTTAGGAGTGCCAGGGACAAAGTGGCAGGCGAGGGAGAGGGACCTGAGCTCCATGGGCAGTTGTTGGCTTGAATCTCTGGGTTATTTAATCCTAAACATGCATGTTTCATGTGTTAGGACAGCAGCCAGGAACAAACAACATGTTCCTGGGTGGACTGCAAAGCTGGATGTGAAGTGAAAGTGATGGGAACATGGAAAGTCACACATGTGCTTGCTCTGGTGTATCCATGGGTAGCTGTGGGTTGTTTAACCCATATGTAGTTGTGATACATTGACTTGGCTGGGTTCTGCAGGGAATTTCCAGCTTTCTCTGGGAATGCCAGGGCGGCACCAGGGCCCATCCACATGCAACGCACAGGCTCTGCCTTTGCCCAGTAGTACTCCATCTTTTTACAATGGTCCATATCCAAGGTCTTTCTGTGCTGATGCTTCAGCTTCCTTTTAGCCTCTAGTGGCTTATAATAGGATGTTGCACAGAAGCATGTTGGTTTCTGGCTCTTGCCCCAAGTGGGCTTATCCAGCTGGCCTGATGGGCAGCTGAAAACAGCACGCTTGTGGGGACTTGGAAATGGCCCTGAATCGCAGCCTTCATTTTTATCAGACAGTTACCCTGGCCTCTTTCTTCATCTGCTGTTGCCGAAATTTGAATTGTGAGACCTTTACAGCAAAGATCTTTGTGAGCCGCGCCCACTACTGTGGACGCTTACTTAGTTGTGGAGGGATGCTGCTTATGGTGTCCTGCAGGCCTGATATGTTAGTTGCACTTCCTAAGCAATAATATACGCACACAGCACTTCAGGATTTATTTTTGATTCACTGGTTGCTTCTTGCAACTGAAACTTTGAAGGTGGTGTAGGGACTTCTGTTGGCGTGTGATGCAGCTGCCCAACTATGCGGGGGTGTGGGGTGTGCGCCTGCCTGCCTGCCCATCCTCTGAGGGCACATGCCTGCCATCAAGGGTCTTCAGGCTGCTGAACAGAAGGGGGGGAGGGCTTTTCTGTGTAGTTCCTTGCATGGGGAGAGGCGGGGGAGGAGTCTGGGGTCCTTTGTAAGTCTTCAGGAAGGCTCTGAAATCCCACCAGTTTTCACTGGTCTTCCCTTAATTTGTGGGTTGTAGCTGTCATAGATTTGTTTTTATAGTGCTTCATAATATTTTTATTGTATATTATTGCTTCTTTATATTTTTGCATGTTTTAATCCTGTATGCCATCATGAGGGGTTTCTACCCTTAAAGCTAGCCTAAATATAATTTAAGATAAATATTTAAATAATGTGATATGTTTAGAGGATACAGGCTAGATCTGTTAAAGTTTTCGGAATCCCACTCTTGAACATTCCACTCTTGATTTTTTCCCTCTTTCTTGTTAGATGAAAGGTGCACTGACTGAAATTATCCAGCTTGCTACCTTGGATCCAGACCCCTGGGTCTTAATGGTGGCTGATATTTTAAAATCCTTTCCAGATATTGGCTCCCTTAACCTTGATCTGGAAGAGCAGAATCCCAATGTTCAGGATATTTTAGGAGAATTGCGAGAAAAAGGTAAGTCACGTTTTTGTCAAGTCCTCTGTGATTGTTATATTGCCTTTGCAGCTTGGATCCTAATGGGGGTTGGGGGGCTTCTTAAAGAGATGGTGTGCCGGGAGTTCTGACTGCTGAGGCGAGGAGTGCACTACCTGGGAGGTGGAGCTTCATGCAGCTTAAGGCATCCCATGGCCTCAGCCACTGGAGCAGCCTGTCTCTCCCTGTGGCTGAAGCCTGACAGGCATGGGGTGGAACAAACCAGAAAGCTTCTCCTCTTTGCAAGAGTCCAAGAAAGTGGCTAACAGCTCAAACTGGCAAGCTGATGCATGAGGCGGAGAGCCACAAAATAGAAATTGCTTTGCACAATGAGCAAGCGTCAGATTTGTTAACTCTTCAAACTCTAGCAATTTTGAGGGCAAGCTGTACCAAACTAAATGAAATGTTAAACAGTCATACCTTGCCCTCTTGAAATGGCCTTTAGGGCAGTCCGCTTTGGTCCTGCGATGGGGCTGCTGGTTCATGCTAATGCTGACAAGAGCAGTGCATTTGCAGCGATTCCCGGGCAGGGTTGGAGTTGCATTAGTGGGCTTGAGAGAGCTTGTGTGCGGTGAGAAATGGCGACAGCAGGTCACAGAGCGGGGAAGTTCTAGGCGAGCCTCGTCTGGGCAGCCAGCCCTGCTGTGGCCTGGCTGAAGGAGTGGCCAAGTGGCCACTGCGTTGAAGCAAAGTGCTGCCCAGGCAGCCTGCCGTCACCTGCTGCGAGGGCCAGGCCTGGGGGCTCACACAGTTGCGGTGTGGGAAATCCCGGAGGAGGTTCACGCCCCGCCCCTCCCCCTCCGGCTGGGTAGCGGTTGTGGAAGTGGAGGGCTAGGCCACCTCTCTGATTGTTCGAATAGTTTCTGTGAAGCTGCTGCTGTCTCCACAGGGAGCCCGTGCACAGGTGCTTTCTCTCTGGGGGCACTTAATTGGCAATGCGGCTTAGTGCAGGGGTCCCCAGGCCTTTTGAGTGGGGGGCAGTCGAAAGGTGCCAGCGATGGGCACGGGCCACCATGGCGGTGCGGGCCGGGGGGTGCGCACACGCAGAAAGGCAGGGGCATGCGTGCGCAGAGATACTTTTCTCCGAGTGAGTCCAAAACGATTTCCTTGCGAGCAGGCCGGCACCTTGCCACGCATGCGCGCATGGGCACACATGCATGGTGAGCTATGGCGGGCCAGATGAATGGGCATGGCAGGCCGGATCCAGCCCACGGGCCACAGTTTGAGGACCCATGGCTTAGTGGGTTAACTCCTCCACTCCATGATTCGAGTCGATTTCCTCTCCTGTCTCCAACAGCTGCTTGCATTGTCCACGCAACACGCACCCTAGATTGCACGCTTCCAACTAGGAGGTTCTGCGCTGTGCTGTGCTGTGTGCAGCAACGCAGCAGCAGGTGGCTCCTGCCTGGAGGGGCAGTCATTCTGCACATTTGTTGTGATCTTTCTGCTCAGGCAGGCAAGGTCCGAGGTTTGTGGAGGCTCCTAAAAGAAGTGAGTGCTCATAATGCTGCTCAGTGCATTATGAGTACTGAAATTATAGTGAAACAAAATTACTAATTTCTTTAGCTGCATATAGTCAAATCCATAAGGTGTCTGCAAGTGCAACTTTAGGATTTGCAATCCTCTTGGAAAGTGTTGAACCTTTTTTTTTAAAGTATGGACAGTTTTCCCTAGTTTTTCCGGTTGTCACCTCTGTAATGCCAGGTACACCTGAAAGTTCCATTTCAATCTGCAGGGCTTACGTCAAAGTAAACCTGATGTGGATTCTGCCATACATTTCCACAGCTTTGGATCAGCTTTGCAATTTATAGAATTTTACTATTTTATAGCCTGTCTTTTAAGGCAGTTTACAAACATGTTGAAACAGAGGTGTCATTGTTGCGGGGTGCAGGATGCCAGTCCAGTAATGAGCTGTCAACATAGAAGTGCCTTCCTTGGGTTTGCATGCAGCCGCAGTGTCAGTGTTCAGCAGACGGTACTTGTCTAGCAGATGCATGGTGTTCTAAACCGCGCGTATGTCTCTCTTTCGGCAACAAGGTTGTGAAAATTAGGGTGTAGCAGAAACGAAATTCAATACAGTTGCTGTGCTAATTTGAGACAAATAGAGGCAAAAATAACTGCCCCATAGTGGAATGAAATCTGTTTTGAATGCATCCAAACAGAACTTGTTGAAAAAATCTAGTTCAACAATTTAAAACTGGAACCCTCTTCTGGATGCTTTATGTTGAAATATTGGGACTCTGGTCTGGCTGATACTGCCATTTCTAGTGTTGAATGACATTCAACTTAAGCTTCAGGAAAAATTTTGGATTATTGGTGAATAATTATATGAGCTAGTTTTTACATGTCTGCTGTAAGTAGCTCATGAATTATAGTTCGGAATCAGTGAAAGCCAGAATATATCACCATTGCCATTATCACATTGTGTTTGTATTCCAACTTTTTTCCACTTGTGAGGAACCCAGGCCAGCTTACACAGTTGTTCTCTACGCCATTTTATCCTGCAACAACCCTTTGAAGTAGGCTAGGCTGAGAGTATATGAGTGGCCAAAGGCGCCCAGTCAGTTTCATGGTTGACTGAGGACTAGAACCCCAGATCTCCCTGGCCAGACACCGGAGCCTTTGGAAATCATTAAATGTTAGCCGGTGGCTCGTCTGGCCTGACAGTTTTCCAGCTAGCGTCTGTGCAATGCAAAACTGCCAGTGGCGGGTTTCATGGTGGTGCGTCTTACTGTGGTGCTGGCCACCATCTTGAAAGTGGCAGCTGCATTGGGGCTGCGCAGCAGCTTGTTGTGATGGAGGGGATGCTGTTGTTGTATTGAGGCGCGAGCCATGCAGAAACCGTGGGGGTTACAGGGAGCCGGTTCCCCCCCAGCAGCCGCCTGCACTGGGTCGGCTGCGATGCTCCCTATGGAGGCCCTACGTTTTGAAGGGCCCAATGGCAAGCCTGGTGGGGAAGCCCTCTTCCTTCCTGGAGGACGCAGCCCTGCCGTTGCTGGCGGCTGTGACTGGAGCAGCCACTCTTCCCTGGCAAGCACCGCTCTGTGCTGTGGCAGCTCCAGAATGCCCCCGTCCCCTTTCTGGCGTCAGTGGCTGCCGTCCCATTGAGGCTGCTGTGGGGAGAGACAGATTTCTGCACTGGTCTGAGCTGGCGCGGGTGGGCGAAGCCTCTGCACAGACATGGCGCGGGAAGTGCTGAGCGGTCTGCTGAGCCCCAGCGTGGTGGAGCAAGAGCCCTCTGCCCATCTCTCTTCAAAGCGGGGAGTCACAACATGAGCACGGTTAAGATGACGGGATGCTGTAGGGAGGAAAGCCTTCTCTTTTTATGCTTAGGACTGTGAGGAGGGGCATTCTGTCTGCCTAAGCTATGAACACTTCTCCTGTTGTTGGTGATTATCAGAACTTATTTCTGTATTTTCGCTTTTATATAGTGAGCGAATGTGAAACATCAGCCATGTTACCATTGGAATGCCAGTATTTAAATAAAAATGCCTTGACCACATTGGCTGGGCCACTTAACCCTCCGGTGAAACACTTCCAACTGAAGCGGAAACCAAAAAGTGCCACTCTCCGAGCAGAACTTTTGCAGAAGTGTAAGTATCAAGCCCTCCGCCCACCCTCCCGGCTGCAAACTGATTAATGGGGTGGAGGACCCAAGACACCAGGCATACGCTTAATTTTGGTCAGAGGGATGTGCTTTTTAACGTACTCAGTTTATACAACAGAATAGCTTATACGCTGATCTTCAATTGGTAGATTGAAACCAGCTCTAAGATGGGCAACGCCAGTAGCAGTACCATCCTTTTTGCATCATTTTGTGCTCACTTGTACAGGAGTTTTCTCGCTGTCTCCTTTAAAGGAGAAAAGGGTTAAAAAGTAAACAGTGAACCCTGATGGAACAGAGAAGTTCTTTCACTTTTTGTAGAAAAGTAAGAGAGGACATTTTGATAGGTATAAATATTGCTTCTTTTACCTTTGATGGATGAGCTACATGTGTTAGATTCTTTTTGATCTACAACCTACTTGGAACAAGTATTCTGTCCTCCTCTGCATCTGGCCACACTCGGTCAGGAAGGAGAAGGGTAGACCTAAGCAGTAACATTTAAAAATGGTTCTCATTTTTTACCCAGTTGGAACGGAAAGCTGAAAAATTAGTAGCTTCAAACAATTTCAGCATGTATTAAAATGGGGAAAAACATGCACATTCCCTGGGATAAGGGTTACTTTTTGTTTCAGTTAAACCCTAATCATTGGGAGGTCTATATGTACAATTCAGTCTGCAAATCTTTGAGCACTGTGGTATTTCTGAACAGACTGACTGTTGTTGTAATAACAGCTTCGTTTAAGAATGGGAATGGTTACATGAGTATTCATTCAAGCTTTCCTTCCAGCTACTGAAACTGCACAACAGCTCAAGAAGACGGCTGGAGTGCCTTTCCATGCAAAAGGGAGAGGATTGGTTAAAAAACTCGATACAACAAGTAAGATACCATTTTTCGCACTTCTTATTTATGAAAAAATCATGCTTAAAGCTGCTCGTTTGAAGGACGGATCTACAAGTTTAAGCGTGTGATCCTTTTGTCCCTGGGAGGCATGCCAAGGACACAGGGTTCTGCAGATCCTATTCCTTCATGGGGAGGTCTGTCCATGGAGTCTTCCCTGGGCAGGACCCCCCCCCCCCCCCCCTGGCAGTGGAGCTGAAAAATGGGCAGCTGGGAACAGTCCTGGGTTTTAGGACTGACACCCATTTCTGACACCCATCCTAAACTACGTGTGGAAGACGGAAACAGCTGCTGGCTGGGTTTAGCAAGCAGCAGTTCCCCTGGTCTGGGCCTCGCTGCTCTCCTGCTTCAGGATTGGCCTTCAGTGTTTGCCCTGCAGCCACCACACTTTCTGGAATGATCTTGCTTGCATTGCCTTAAAATACTGAGAATCCAGAGTATTTTGGGGCAGCACAAATAAAGTTGGACACAGTTGCTGTACAACGTTCAAAGTGGACCCTTTCAGAAGCGCTATATCTCCGGCTATACTGTTTTGACTTTGCATCTTCAAGAAGCATGTTTCCCTCCCAAAGTGTGCGTGTTGGATTTCTAAGAAAAACAGAAGCTACTGCATGTTTGTGTGGTAAGCAAATAGGAAAGCATACTTGGAAAAAAATCACGCAAGCTTCTTTTGGAATATTCAGGAACCACCTTCTGCATTCAGTGTGTGTTCCATAGAATTTTCAGTTAAAATGGAAACAAAATTCTCAGGCATGATCTCCAAGGTACCTCAGTAAACCATAATAACGATTTCCTGTTTCCTAGCCTTTAAGAGCAATAGCTAGTCAGATGCCAAGCTGACATAAATACAGATTTAGCAGCTGAGGTGACTTTAAAAGATGGAGGAGATGCTGTTGTGAGAAGCCTTTTTATGCATGTTGACCTTTCTGAAACTTATTTATTCTTTTTCAGTAGCAGCAATTATATTAAACGCTAATTGCGTGTCCCTGGAAAATGCATCAATTTTTCCAAACTCTCTTCTGATTTTTTTCTTTAAACTGATCTGTACCATGGCCTCATCCTCTGCTTGTTGTCACAGACTTGATTCAAGTAGAAGCAGTCACCCCCCCCCCCGACCTTTGACTTTCTCACATTTGTTATGCTTCAGTCTGGAACTGAAATGTATTTCGCTGGTGTTGTTGCCACTTCATGTACCCAAGATATTCAACATTGTGGCAATGCAAAATCTGTTTTATTATAGCACAGAAATTAAGTAAACAAACTGGCACTTGTCCCTGGCCTGAGTATTTACCCCCTTTGCTGTCACATGCCTGAACAAGCTCTGGTGCAGCCTGGTGTCCCAGAAGTCAGCACACTGCCAGCTGGGGGAGCATACCCGAGCAAGCAGCAGCATGAAGACCAGCGGGGTGTCAGAACAACTCTGGGTGAAGGTGTGTGGAAGCATTAGGGTTGGGTTATGAAAAAGCCAAAGCATCCCAAATGTGTCCATCCCTGCAGTGCAGAGAAAGGTGAACACAGAACTCGGCGATCAAGTCCAGAGGGCAAGCAGGTGGCCAGTGGGGCCTCTGCAGAAGCTGCTCAGATCTGCAGCTGGGCTGGTCGAAACCATCCATGGTGGAAGCCGAGGCTTTGCCGAAAGCTGGGCTTTGTGGAGGGGTGGCCAAGAGAAAGCCACCCGGAAGTGAAATCACATCCTGGCCTGTTTAAGATCCCGGAAGAAATTTGAAACATAGCAAAAACAGGGAAGGTTCTCTACTTTGATGCGACAGGCACTGAATGTTGTGACCTTGCTGCAAAATGCCGCACATGGCACAAAGCTGCACTGCCTTGAGGAGCCTGCTGGCCTGGCAGCCTTGTATTGCGGGGATGCTATTCCCGGGCGAGGACTGGGAGCCTGGCTGAGGCCGAGGGCAAGGGGATTCTAGGGGAAAGGCCTCCTCCTCCTGCAGGGGCTCTGGGACTTGCAAGGAGGCTCCTCGTCCAGCATGAGGACGACCCGAAACACAGCCAGTGCCACACCGGAGTCGCTTAAGAGCAAGGCCCTGAGCGCTGTAGAAAGGCCCAGGCAAAGCCCCAGCCTCAGCCCACTGGAGAAGCCGCTGTTCTCCCGCATCCTTTGTCCGGTCTGACCACGCTGGAGGGGTTTTGCCAGGAAGCAGGAGCAGACCTTGCAGGATGCAGAGATGCCGTTGCAGCCAGAGGTGCTTTGGCCAAGTAACAAGTGCTTTTGCGTGCGTAGTGTGCAGGCCACAGCAAAACTGTTCTGCCTCTTTGCAGAGTTGAGTGTCTTGTCCACATTGAGTGGGGCATGGATACTTCTGCATGGCGCTGTACATGGACAAGTGTTCCATATTTCTGGCTTGATTATTTCCCCACAGAGGCCGTGCATATATTTAACTGTCAGTCTGGCTCTTGCCCTTTCCACTCCCTGTGGCGGCTCTGTTCTTGCCCTCTTCCTTGCTGCAGCTGCTGCTTCTCTTGCAAACCCGGTTTTTGTACCCAGAAGAAGGGAGGAATAATCTGCCTCCTATGGACTGGTAAACCATTCACGATGGCTCACGATGGCTCAGCGTGCTTCTGCTGTCCGTGATTTTCACCAGCAGTTTTGGTTGCACCCGTATCAGTGAGCTCAGTATTTTCCCACAGTCTGGATTCTGACTGTGTGGGGGAGCTGATAGTGTTACCCAAACATCTGAAATATTGACAAAGTTCCCCCCACCCCCAGTTAAAGTTGCATGTGCATTTCTTGCGTTGTGCTCCGAGCGATAGGCAGCTATTACCATGGCAGCTGCAGAACATTGTCTGGTGAGAGGGAACACCTGCCCTGCCGGAAGGCATGTGGGAATAGGTTGCCTGTGTGCCTCAGTTGCCTTGTCCGGGAAAGGAGGGGCTGCTAGCGAATTGCAGACTAGCCAAAGTACTGATGAGTTTTTGCACTAGTGGGCACCTCACCTGCTCCTCCCCAGTTCTGATGCTTCTGAAGAAAGTGCTTTCTAGAAAGTGACTTCCAATAGTTAGGCATCTTGAACTGTTTTTTCCACCAGAGCCTTCATCAGTAGCCAAAGAAACAACATTTTTCTGTTTTATGGAAATACATAAATAACAATATTTGATAGATAGCAGAGTAGGATTAATGTGCATAGTGTTTTAGGTGTTAATAATGAGCAAAAAAGTGTTGCAAGACAATGCAAATCATTTTTAATATCCTCTGTGTGAACTCTGGTAATATGTTCTAATATTGGCCAGTGTTAAACACAACTATATTTTGCTGACATTGTGGATAAAGAATGGAAGAAATAGATCAAAATACACAGCTAGTATTTCGCCAGGAGAAGTGAGCTCATCCCCGATTTCAGTGAACGGCATTTTTTCCCTTCCTGTTTCTTTGCAGCGCCACTCAAAGGAATACCCAAACAAGCTCCATTCAGGAATCCCACTGCTCCGAGCGTGTTTAGCCCTGCCGGGAACAGGACTCCCATCCCTCCCTCAAGGACTCCTTTGCGTAAAGAGAGGGGCGTAAAGGTACTTGCGCCTTCTGGAGGCATGTGCTCTCCTTTCATCCTCCTCGGGAATAGCTGGTCATTCTCTGGCACATCTGGTATAGATGAGCAATCTGACCCACGGCGGACACACGGTTCGCCCGTGCAGCTTGGTGCCCTTCTCTGCCAGGGCTGTGCTTGGCACACGGGAGAGGAGGCTTGCTGGCGGCCCGTCTTTCCCATGGCAGGCCGCCGCGTTCTGTTGACGGAGGCACCGCCCCGTGCAGTCGGCTTTCTTTCTGGAGAGGAGGAAGCTGGCTGGCTTTCTGCCTGGTTCCGCCATAGGGGAAGACGTTGCCGCTTCACTTGCCCAAGTGAGTTTGCGAGGCGCAGCTGCCCATCCGGGGCTGCTAGCCACGGCGGAGCGCTGTGTCCTCCGCGCCTTGGCTGCCTCCTGCGGGGCGGCTTGTTTTCACAGGCCTCCCGTTGGTGGTGTGGTGAGTGGTTCCACAGCAGGTGAAAGGGAGGGTCAGGCAGGTTATCACAGAAGCCCAGTAAATGCTGTTCTGTGTGTGGTGGTCTTGCCCGTGGCTGCCAGTGCAAGCCCTTCAAGTGGCCGGGGGCGCCATGCGGAGAGGCCGTTTGTCCTCCAAAGCCACGTGGCCTTGCGGAGCTGCGCGCGGCTCTGGGCCACTGACTGCAGGAGGCCCGAGCCCGAGATGGTTTCCCCAAGCAGGTGCCCCTGGCCTTGCTCTCCTTCAGCAGCTCCCCAAAGCCGAGCTGCAGGCGACTGCTGCTGGTGAGAGAGGGCAGGTGCCGCCCCCGCCTGCGTGGAGGCTCCTGGGGCTGGTGCCCAGCGGGGCCCCGGCGCTCCTGCACTGCTGCCCGGGCTCGGCCTTGTCCATCTGGCAGCCGGGTTTCTTTGGCTTGGCAGCCTGCCTTTTTGAGAGATGCGCGAGTGCGGGGGCACGGTGCTGCCGATGGCGGGGGCGCGCAGGGTCACCTCGTCTGTGTTGGGAAGGGCTTGGCAGGGCTCCACGCACACTGGCCCCAGATGCCACCTGGCCAAGCAGAGTGGCCCAGGGCTTTTTTCCCCTGCTGTGACTTGAGAGAGGGATGCCACTGGGGGCCATACATGCAGGCCGCAGACCTTCCGGGCCTGCAACTGTCTCGGACTCCACCGTTATCCGTGTTTCATAAAATGCACCCCCAAAATACAATAACAGAGAGCTGATCTCTCCAGAAGTGTGTGCCCTGACAGGCGCCAGCGGGTGCTGCCCCCGAGCTCTGCCCAGCGCAGATGCTGCGTGGCGCTCTGCCGAGAGTCCAGGCCCTGCTGCCTCGATGGGTTAGCGGCCGGAGACTGCTCTGGGGGGGCAGTGCGTTGGCCTGGGGGGGCAGGTGGTGGTTTGGTTCCTGCTCGGTGTGGAAGGTGTGACCTGGCTGCAAGAAAACCAGTTCCGGGCAAATGTGGAACTCTGTGTGAACGGCACACTCTTCTCGGCAGAAATCCAAGTAATTCTGGGGAAAATGCAAAATTAAGCATTCCTTTTACATATGTGTATTTGTAGTTACTGGACATAAAAGAGCTGAATAAGGTTGGTGCTGGCCGGGAAGCAAAAAGAAGAAGAAAGACCTTAGGTTAGTACGCCGTGTTATGAAGTCCTGCCTGCTGCAGTTACTTACCCAGTGAACTTCCTCTTTAAAGGGAGGTACTTTTTCTTTTGATTGGCTGTTTTTGCATAAAGCCGGCAGAAACTCCTAAGGCACGGGCCCTCAAACTGCGGCCCGCCGGATGGACCCGGCCCGCCACGCCCATTCACCCGGCCCATGTGCATGTGCGTGGGAGGTGGTGGCTTGCTCGCTTGGAGATGGGTTTGGACTCGTCGGGAGATCTCTGAGCGAGCTGCCGCGCGTGCCCAGCGCCACCTTGCGTGCATCCAGTGATGCCTCGCTGGCCCGCGCGCCCAGGCCCCCTCCTCACCGGCCCGTACGTGAAGCCACCGCCTTTCAGCTGGCCCCCATTGAAAAAGCTCGAGGAGCCCTGCTCTAAGGTGTGGACTTGTGCAAGTGGAAGCATTTCTGCTTGCTTGTGTTCAGCTTGGGATAGAAAACAGATTCTAAGGCTGCCCTTGAGCACGGATTTGCACGGGGTGGGTGGGGGAGGCTGCAGGAGCTGTGCAGAGAACCGCCTGGGAAGGCTGCGCGACAAACAGGTTGCGTTGTGCGAGTCAGAGGTCGCTCAGGGCGCCGCCGCCTGTGCTGCCTAAGGAGCATGTGAGGAGGGCTTGTGTTGGAGTTGCTCTCGGGCTTGCCTGGCAGAACGAGCCGCCACATGTATCCCGATGCGAGCAAGCATGTCTAGGTCCGAGTATCAATAAAATACCAAGTCGTGCTAAAGCAGCCAACCTTGTTTCTTTCCTTTGGTATTTTTAATTGATTAGATACAGAAGTGGTGGAAAAACAAGCAAAGGAGGAAACAATAATAGAAAATGCTACTCCAGATTATGCAGCTGGGCTTGTGTCCACTCAGGTAGGAGTTGCGTTTGCCGCAGTATTCTGTCTCATCTGCATGTTTGGGGATGGGGTGCGCTGCCTTTGGCGAGAGATTTGCCTTCGGAGCGGCTGGGCCGTGGGAGCGGGTTTGGAGGAGAAGTGGCTTCTTGCTGCAGCTTGAGCCTTTGAGGCTGTGCAAAGTGTCTTTTACTCACCAGCAAGAGCCGCTGTCTCCCTTTAAATCTCAGTGTTGTGCATGTTGAGGACAGAGCCGAAAGGGTGTTTGGGTGGTCTAGAGCATTCCTCCCAGTGTGAGGATTGTTGCATTTGCAGGAGGTCTGCGTTGCAGCAGAGGCTTCTGGGGGAAGGAGTGAACGGGGCTGGTGCTTCTCTGATTCTGCTCCCCCGCCGGCCCTTGACCTCGCCTCCCACCCCATGGGTTGCCCAGCAGCAGAGGCCCTTGGACCAGCAGCCAGCTTTGTGTGCCAGCGCCCTCGGCTTCTCTGCTGCTCCATCCCGGCAGCGCTCGGGGCAGCCGGGCACCACCTGGGCCAGCCCGCCGCTGGCTGGAGCTCAGCCCGAGGCCTGCAGCCTGCTCCCGCCTCCCCCGTGAGGATGGTGGCTTCTACACCATGCCAGCTCTTCCCTTGCTCCCCCTTTCCTCCTAACAGCCCTCGGGGTGCCTGGGTTGGTGTAGGTGCCTGCACTCTTTATGATTCTCCCGTTCTCTGAAATAGCCGTACATGGATCTGTGTGAAATGCACACAGCTTTCTAGCAGTCATAGACAGAGTTCAACAAACACGAACCAACCATCCGCCTGGAGTTGTTAGGCCCTCAGTCCCTTGCATTGGTGGAGATGTGGAGCCTTCCAGTGTCATAAGACTGTCTTTAGGCTGCCCAGAAAGGATCCATTTCCCCTCGCATTTGTTAATGTCCACGGAGCAGGTAAATAAATTTAAAGAGTGTGTATATCAGCGCATATTGTGCAGAAGCTGTATTGGTGCAGTGAGCTCCCAGCAAAAGGGGTTTGTTGGGCCTTGCCCAAGCGTTTGTTTCCAGGAAGCGCTGGCCGTGGAGCCCCGGGGCAATTGCCCGACTTGGGCGGTTCTGTGTGAAGGCGGCCCTGCGGTGTCCAGTGGGCGCAAGCCAAGTTCCCCCAGCGTGAGGTGTAGCGGGGGCTGCCAGCCCACCCCCCATGCGGCGCTCGTGGCTGCTCCCTGCAGCAGTTCTCCAGCGCTGGAGGTGCCCACGAGCCCAGGGCGATTGGTGGCCGTGCCACGCCTGATGACGGGGCCGGGGCCGTGGTGCTCACGCCTTCCACAGTCCTGTGCAGACCTCGAGGCCCAGGGCCTGCCACGAGTGCTGCAAGGCTTTTCCAAAAACGCCCCCCCCCCCCCCCGCCGCGTGCTGTCTTGCAGAAGCTGGCCTCGCTGAACAGCGACCCTGCCCTGGCCTCCACCAGCTACCTGCCCGCAGTACCCAGCGTTGTGCCGTCCTCCTCCTATGTTCCCAGTTCGGATGCACAGCCAGGTCAGTGGCCCACTTCTGTTTCTCGTGCGTTTCTGGCCCCGTGACATGTCCAGTGCTGCGCAGAAGAGCTTCAGAGCAATCCACGGGTGCCGATGTTTATTGCAAGCACTTCTGAGGGGACTGAAGTTTGAATCTCCTTTAGCGCTTTCTATTTGTGTCTGTTCAGGACCTGATCCCATAGCAAGCTTTTAAAAGTTTATCACGTGTAGGACGCTGCAAGTCAGGGGAAGGGGCCTGGGCACTTGCTCGCGGGGTGGTTCGGGCTGCAGCTGGGGCACTTGCCTGGGAGTGAGGCCCCGACCTCAGAACAGGCGTGCCCAAGAGGGGTTGCTCAGGGACAGCTGGGCGCTGGCCAGCACCTCTGCTGCTGGGCGCCGTGCCCTGCCAGGCTGCTGGCCCTCGGATCCTTCCTCGGCAGTCGCAGGGCGCTTGAGTCTCTGGGCTTGAACGGGAAGGGGATGTGCCGCTTCCTGTTAAGGCCAGCGAGGACACCCATGTTGCCAGACGGCCCGTGGTTTGTTGCCATCCGGGGTGGCTTGTTTCCAGAACTGCTGGCTGGGACACGTGGGCCTGGAAAGATGCTCGGGTGCTGCTTGTCCGAGGGGGCCTCAGAGGTGTGGCTGGCGTGTGCCCGAGTGAAGCCCCGCGTTTGCATGTGAGCAGTGGCAGGGCCGAGGAGCGCTGGGGCGGCCCGGGCAGGCTGGGCAGGGGATTCGCCCATGCCACCCCCACTCGTGCCCTGGCTTGCTGAGGCGGCAGGCGCCAGGCAGGGGATCCGGCTCGTGCCGGCCAGACGGGCACGTGCTGCAGGGCGCGGCCCCAGCCAGTCGCTCCCGTCGTGCCACACTGCTTGTCCTGCCGCACGCCACTGCCCCAGGGACGCTTGCTCCTGCTCTCACGGAAGCCAGGCGGGGATCACCCGGGCAGCGCGCCCTTCCCCACGTGGCCAGGCGATTCCCCGCTCCCGCCCCAAGAGAGCTCTGCCGCGCAGGGACGCCCCCGACGGCTGTGCCAGGCAGCCACCGCCAGGTTAAGTCAGTCACTCGGCACGCGCCCTGCAGACACCCTGCCAAGCCTTTGGGCCCGGCCGCCGGGATGAGTTGCGTCCTGCTGCTCACACAACATCCCAAGGAGCCCCGGAACCGAGAAAGCGTGGGACAGGCTGTTGCTTCCTGTCTGTGGCTCCTCGGACCTGGCTGTGCCGTCCTGGAGTACCACGGCTGTGGCTGAACCACGTGCCAGACCAAAGCGTGTGTAGCCCCCCTGCCTCTTGGCCTGTTGTGAGAACCTGCCCCGCCTTGCAAATTTGTGAAGGGCAGTGGCGGTGCCTCGAACTCGGGGATGTCAGGACGGCACATGGAGGTGCCACCCGCAGCCTGCGCGGAATGACGGCCGTTTGTTCCCGATAGCCGGATCTGCTTGGGAGACGCTGCAAGCCAAAGAAGAGCCCGCTGCACCCGCCACCACGGCCGTCCCCGCCCAGTTTAAGCAGAGGACCCCCATGTACAACAGCAGCACCAATGCGGCCGTGGCCGCCCCGGCCTCGCCCGCCGCTCCTCCGGCCAGCGCCCCCGCTGTGCAGGTGCCACCGGCGGCCCTCCCGCAGGCCCCGCCCAAGAAGAGCCTCATCCTGACGGTAAGCCCCAGGTCGGCGCCCGGCCTCGTGCGAGGCGGGTGGGGAGGCCGCTGCGCTGGCCCGGGGCCTCCAGGCAGCCATGCTTCCGGTCCCCCGGCAGGGCCCCGCGGTGGTCCCCGTGGCCCGCGCCGTCGCGTGCTTGCCCACGCCTCGGCGGTGACGGCTGTTATGCTGGGCTGGATGCTGCCACGTCTCCGCCGAGCCGGACTCCCCCACCCCCCTCACTGCAGGCCTGGCTCCTGCCCCTCAGAACCGCCTTCGGGGAGGTCCCCGCTCTGCCCCACCTGCAGCTGACCTAGGATGAGGAATGCTCCCCCCCAGCATCATGCAGTTTGCTGAGCTGCCCGTGCTGCTCTGGCAGGCTGGCTGGGATTGGCCTCCCCACTCCAGCTGCAGAAGTGGCCGCTTCGTGTTGCTGCAGTTTTCTCTCTCTCCCCCCCCCCCCCGCACACCATTGCTTTTTGTGCTCTCTGAAATGACAGCCATTGACAGCCCCTTAAAGTCCCCAAGCAGCGCAGTGGAGTGGAGTGACCACCGTGATCCCCCCTTTTGGGTCGGGGGGCACAATTCGCACAAATATGTTTCAGCCTCGTTTATGATTGCCAGCAGCTTGGAGTTGCGCAGGTGTGCGGCTCCGCTTGCCCTTCACGATGCACCGGCTGGGGTCCCTCATCCAAGCACAGGAAGCACCATCCATGGGACTTGGCAAAGCGGAGCGAGGCTGCACACAGGCCTCTTGATCGGCTTTCCATTTGATGGCTGCCGACCTCTCGGTGCCCCACCTTTCGCACCCTTTCCCAAGACTGGCTGCTTGGCAGAGCAGAAGAGCGCAAGCCACGTCGCTTTTGGGAGGACGGAGTTGCGGCAGCTGTCAGAACTCCAGCCTCTCCTGAAACAGGCTGTTGACGGGGCTGCTCAGTGCTTCTGAGAGGGCTCTGCAAATCCCATGGTGATGGTTGCTCCCGAGTGGCGCTGGGGTGGCTTGTGAGCCTGCTGCCCTGGGTAGCGGCTCAGTTGAAATGGGCAAGAATAGCAAAGGGGCGTTGCTACTCTTGCCAAGTTGCTCACTTGCCACTTCTTCGTGTTCGTGAGCAGGGCGGTTGCCCGGCTTCAGAGAACAGGTCACATGCCGCAGGTACAGGAAACCTCGCAGTAAGCCATGGCCAGTGTGACGGCCAGCGATGTGCGTGCACACAGGAACGTCCTCGCCCGTGCGGACGCAGGACCAGAGCAAGGGTTCCGCAGGCCGGGGAGGCAACTGCGGCTGTTTGCAGTTGCGGGACGAGAGAAGGTTGCCTCGCCACTCTAGGAAGAGGCGGACAGAATGTTGTGGTGCTTTGACCGAGCCTCATTTCTCTGCTTGCATAATCGTGTCTTGGAATACTTGAATCTCTTGCAGAAGGAGCAAATGTCTGCAGCACAAGAGATGTTCAGGACAGCAAACAAAGTTACAAGGCCAGAGAAGGCTCTCATTCTTGGATTTATGGCAGGCTCCAGAGGCATGTATCAAGAATGCTCCTCCTTGGGTTGGAAAGTCCGAGCCAGACAGCCAGAGTGACCCCTCGCACTCGAGGCAGCGGCAGCGCAGCAGCCCGGGCAGGAAGGGCTGTGCGGCCGCCCCCCGGGGCCTCTCCGTGGCCTGCGTGCGGGGGGACAGCTCTTCCTGCGGGCGTCCGCCTGCGTTCCTGCTCCTGCAGAGCAGCGGGCGCGCATACCCTCTTGCGCCCGGGCGGTAGGACCTGCCCTCACAGGCTTCAGGCACAGGAGGGCGACTCGCAGCTGAGCCCCAAGCAAGCCGAGGAGGCGCCCGTGACCCGGCGGGGGAGGGGCTCTCTCTCCTCGCCCTGGAGGGCTTCCTCTGTTAAGGAAGTTCTGGGCAGCAAGCTGGACTGCAAGGGAAGGGCCCACTCCGGATCCGATTCCCATCGGATGGCAAATGAGCACGTGAAGAGAGTGTGGTGGCGCTTCTCCGTGTAGTTTCCTCCATAGCCTCTGTCCTAAATCCAGATTGGTTTGCTTGTTATGTTATCCCACCTCTGCTCTGATGACGTGAGGCTGTTTTCCTGTTTCCTCCGGTGGGCCTGACCTTGCAACGTGTCCCTTTTGCCTCCGCAGAAAACCCTTGTCAAGACCAGGGTGACATAATCCAGATCAAGCTAAGCGAGCACACGGAGCTGCTGCCCAAGGCCGACGGCACCGGAAGCACCACCATGCTTGTCGACACGGTCTTCGAAATGAACTACACCACAGGCCAGTGGACCAGGCTCAAGAAGTACAAGCCCATCACCCACGTTTCCTAAGCACTGCCGTGCAGCGAGGAAGGGGGCTGGTGAGGTGGGCCCCACGGCAGGCCGGCTTGGACCTCGCCTGCCGACTCACCGAGCAGCATTCCTGTGTGGGCTCTGCGGCCGCCGGCCAGCGTGGGGCTGCGAGCCGCCAAAGGGGTGGGGCGGGGCAGGGCAGGGCAGGGCAGGGGCTGCAGTCGCAGTAGCAGAGGGCGGCGGGAGGGTGCGGGGTGTGGACGTGCTGAGTGGCCACAGCCACGACTCCTGCCCGGAGAAGGGTTCACGTTCCAGTGCCTTGAGCGAGCGGTCGGGCATCTGCGCGCTTGCCTGAAAACAGCCGTGGCTCTGCGTGCCGTTTCTCTCCCCGCTGTGGCTGCTGTGGGCGGTGTCCCGGCTCCCCCTGTGGCGGCTTTGCCATTCACTGCGACAGCATGAAGGCATCCCCTCTCTGTAGAGCGACTTCCGGATGCACGACCTAAAAGCTGCATAGTGGCCGGGAACCACACATGGCTTGTCCCGGTAACTCTGTGTGTGTACCGCGTTGTACCTGCGTCTGTCATTTAATGGGCTTTTACATGTATATGCAAAGTATATAAGGCAGTCCAAAAACCGAAAGGTTACGGTTCTTTCTGGATTGCACCAGAGTCCCAAATGTCTTTGGTGTCAAGCAGGAAGGTTGGCCTGGGTTGCTCTGCTGCTAAAGATTGTTCAGTCTGGCCCGTCCCAGTTCTTTTGCGTTCTCTGAAGCAGACGGCCTCATGTTGGAACCAGACTTTGTGTTCAACTTGTACATTTTGCATCTACCAACCGACTTCTGGAATAATCCGAGGATAGCATCTTTTTGGAGCGTCAGTCTCCTGTCCGTGTTGGAATGTCTTAACCAGGAGTCAAAATGGCCCCGGGAGGCCGTCCCCCAGTGTTCCAGGGCTGGGTCAGCTGCCATCGCAGGAGGACTGGTCAAGGAGTCACGTGCTTGAGCGGAACCTTCTCCCACGCTCATCTGCAGAAGGTGTGCCATTTGCAGCGTGCAAAGTATGGCCAGGAGTGACCTGACCTGCAGCCTTGTGGGACTTGGCAGCCCTTCTGTGTGCAGTAGAGCTAAAGAGCCCCCCTTCTCAGTGGGGGGGGGGGGCTGCTTCTGTGCACGTGGAAACTGCCGTTCAAAGGCGTTGGGAGTGCGGTGTTGGAGAGTTCAGTAGCTTATGCACAGGAATAATAGAATGAACCACATTTCGTTCTACTATTTCTGGAAAGTGCGTAAGACAGTAGGAAGAGAAATATTCAAGCTGAAACTGAGGCAAAAAATGAAGATGGCTGTAGCAGCCAGGAAAACCGATTCCTACCAAGGGGTACCTGGGCACTAAATCGCTTGACCTCATTTTGGTATCTTCTGGTTATCAAATGGTGTGTGACAACTGCAGTCACCCTGGAGAATTTAAAACCAGGAGAACAGATCCTGTGCTGCATTGCATTCTGATCCAATTAAGTTCGGTGTCCCGGGTGGTTGATCAGTGAAGCAGCACATTGAGAGGCGTTGCGGGCCCGGAACCGGCTGCCTGGGGTCGGGGGGCGGCTGCTGTTACCAGCCAGAGGGCCCTTCTGCTTCTCTATTCACTGCCTGTAACTTCTGCTCACCAACCAAACAACTATTAAAAAGAACTAGCAAAGGTGTAGTTTCAGAATGATTGCCTTGTAAGACCACATGTCTGCTTAATGCTGAAGATAGAATATGAAGTAGTAATTTAAAACTTAAAGGAGAGGGTGTTGTTTTAGTTTTGTTCTTGCCATCTTTTTGGTTTTACCGGTAGGTTTTATGGGATCTCAGGATGGGCTAGTGTTTTAATATGCGAGGATTTAAGAAAATTGCTTTCTACGTCTTGAAAGAGCAAGTGTGAAAAATGTGTATGAGATGTGGACTCTCACCTTAGTGTTCTAGCATCTGTGATGATAGGCAGGGCGTGATTTTTAAATGTTCTCGTACCACTGGAGAGCCTGGAGGAATGTTGTCCATTGGGTCACGATGGGTCGGGCACGACTCTGCGAAGAACGCAAGAACTGCTAGAGGTGTCATTGTTTTAAAATGGTTAAAAAGAACTGTTTTGTTGACCAGTTCTGACCCCGTTAAACTTAATGGAAAATCTTTATTAGAAACTTGGCTTAGAATACAAAGTTAGTGGTTATCATTTTCCTTAACGTGATTGAGAAAATTAAAATGATATAGATCAGTAGATAAAAATCCTTCATTCCACTATCCTTACATGCAGGTAGTGTTGACCAGGTGGTCCATCAAAAGGGGAGAGAGCAAGTATTTGAATACCTGTGTGAATATTTTGCAAAGTACTCATTTTAATTTACTGAAGGCATTTATGACGGAGCAGCTTCACTATGGCATGTAGAACGTCACACGTGTGTGTACATTAGCATAGGCATATGTGTGGATGATGGACCAAAGCATGTAACAGATTAGAGTGCTTGCAATACACACGCAAGCCAGCCAACATTGCAGAGTTTTGCATCTCTCTCACTTCAAAGGGAGAAGGGCTAGAACTGAAACGACTTGTAATTGCATCAGCTTCACGTCTAAAACCACAGTCGTCAAGTACTGATACGGCTTTGTAAAGATGAAACTTGCATCTGCGGAAACCAAGGAGGTTACAATTGCACATTTTGTGGTTGAAAGTTGCCATTCCATGATCGCGATATGTTGAAATTACAGGTGCATGTGTTTTTCAGAGCTGGAACCCAGTAATGTTAAAAGAATTGCATGACATTTCCCACATCTTTGGTGTGCAGCTGAAGAGAGGAGGAGAATTTTTCCTGTGTTCAAGGGGGAGGGAGAGAAACAAGTCCTTCCAAAGGGAGGATACAGATAGACAGGCTGCCATGCAAGCTGAGGCGAGGACAAGCCAGCCTTTCCCATCAGAAAAGCACCGTTGCGAGCTTCCTCCTGCTGCTTTGCCCTGGGCCTGCATCGGATGACTGGCCACCTCAAAATGGCTGCAGCAACAGTCTGAGTATTTTTTCCAAGAAGGAATTTTCTTTCAGATTCTGATTCCATTTATCCATAGTTGGTATCAGTCATTCAAGAATGCTGACCAGGCTTTTTAACAGACACCTATTTCTAAAAGCTAACCAAAATTGCACAAGTGTCACTTCACTCGGGCCAGTCACGATGGCCCTGCAGGGCCTGGCAGCATTCCGTTCCCCGTGAATCATGCTGCATTGATGCTTGGCAAATTTAGCAAAGGTACTCGAATGCTACAGCTCCAATTGTATTGTGGAGCGATTGGATGGAGGGGGAAGGGCAGAGACCTATTTTAAGCCTGCTAGGAATCTGAAACCTTTTTATCAAGCAATGTTGTTTTGTAAAATGTTGCGTATCTAGAATAGCCAGTCCATGTTTTCTATCTTTCCTTTTTGTACAGATGTAAATTCAAAACCTCATGTTCTTGAGTACATATTTTCAGCATAATACAGTATGTATAATAAAATTCAGATTTTTCTAAAGAAAATTTTCTTTCTTCCAGTGCTGTTGAACCATTTCATTCCTTCTAAAGGCAAACATGCCTGTCAAAACACCCCCTTGCCAAGCTAGGTGCTGCGGCATGACCTAACCTGATTAAGATGGCATCCCGGGGGGAGGCGTCGGCAGGTGGGGGTGCAGCAGGCACTAACCAGCGGTCCATCCATTAGTGCAGACTTGCACGAGCAGAAGTTAGGTTCTGAACTATGCACAAAAGCAGCAGCCAGCTAAAGCTGTGTTTGTGCAATGGGTGTCACAAGTGGTTGTGCTTCATGCTTGTGCAGCCTGTTGCATTGTCCCTGTGCAATTGCTTGTGCAAAGGTAGCACACTTGATTGCACAACGGCAACCTTCAGTGGACTTCTGTTAGACCCATTTGAGCTTGCAGAATGACCCTGGAGGAGGCAGCCCAGACCTGTGCCCAGGCGGCTGCATTTTGAGCTGCTGCTTGGTCTCCCGTCTTCTAGACCCTCGCCCAGTCCAGGAATGGTTCCTTCCGCCCTCCTGCTCCCTGCCTTCAAAGCCCAGCCTCTACAGAATGCACCATGTGTCCCTGACAGGCTGCTTCCCACTCTGCTGCTGCGATTGTACGCCATCTCTTTTGGTTGTGATTGATGCTGAAACAGTTGCAGAGCCGCCTGGCAATACTTATGTTGCAAGAGCTGGAGTAGCCAGCAGGCACCAGTGGAGGGTCTCGACACAGCTATGTGGACAGCAGGCTCTTCCTGCAAACTGCACTGGGGCAGCTAGTCTTAAGCTGGCTCATCGTTCGTGCGCTTGGCAGGTTTGCTGATTAAGCCGATTCTTACCTGCAAACCCTTATGATGCAACAATCCAAAATAGCACGAGCGAGACTACCAGAAGATGAAAGACACTCCAGGAACTACTGGGGAAGCAGAAAGGCCAGGCATGGATAGTGCTATTAAAGAGGCAACTTGCTCATTGCCAAAAGGAAGTCTAGCAGCTGGGCTGGCACGCCGAGAGGCAAGGGGCCGATCGGATGTTGCACAGCACGGACCATTGAGACACCGGAAGTAGGAATCCAGGTAAGCCAGAAGCCGTAAAGCCGGCAGTGGAATGGGTAATCCTGGCAGAAGTAAAGTGGACTGGAACGGTTATTTTCAGTCGGACAAACAAAATGCTTTACTCCAGAAATGACATACTTAAAAGAAATTGAGTAGCTTTAATCCTGAGGCACAAACAGTGAGGGACTGTAATGCAAAGTTCAACCCAGTCAGGCACCTTGGAAAATCCATCACCATTCAAGTATATACTTCAACATCAGATACTGAAGAAGAAATCAAGATCTTTTATACAGGTGTTGATAACACTCAAGACATGCTGATCATGGATCCTCAAACCATGGCCTGTGGGCTGGATCTGGCCTGCCCTGCCCATTTATCCGGCCCACCTCAGAGGCGTTGGACTCCCCGTGCACACAGCAGCTTGGTCGCTCAGAGATCGTTCTGGACTTGCTCAGAGATCTCCAAGCGAGCAAGCCACTGCCTTGCCGCACAAGCGCCCGCCGCCACCTCGCCACGCACATGCGTGCCTGCCGCCTCACCGGCCTGTGCTCACGGGCACCCCCGCCTCACTGACCTGCACCTGCCGCCGCCACCACCTTTCAACTGGCCCCCTGTTGAAAAAGTTTGAGAACCCCTGCATGCTGATTATCACAGGAGACTGGACCACAAAAGGTAGGAAGAAACAAAGCAGAATCCAACGTTGTGCAGAATTTGGCCCGTGGGGGGGAGGATCCCTGAAACAAAGCAGGGAAACAACCCAAAGAATTCTGTCAACAATCTGTTTATTGCCAATACATACTTCAGGCAACCAACTGCAGACACGGACATCAGCAGATGGCCAATGCAGAAATCCGGGAGGCGAGGAGATGGAGCACTCCTGTTCTTACTGCCAAGCAAAACCAGGAGCAGATTGTGAGTGACCATTGCCTTTAATATCAAAGATGAGAGTAAAGATGAAGAAGATCACTCACAGAAGCATAGTGCCAAACTACAACTTAAATGATATTCCTGAGGAATTTAAAATCCACATAATGAACAGATTTGCGTTACTGAACTCAACTGACTGAACCAGAACAACTGTGGACTGAAACAACAGCCATTGTTAGGGAAGGATGCCAAAAGACCATTCCTGTAGCAACAAGAAAGGAAGAAGGCCTAGACGGACGACAGAGGGAACTCTTGCAAGTCTAAGGGTGGGCGAGACGCAGAAGCAAAAAGTTAGGGCTAAAATGTTGAAAGCAACTTTTCAGTAACTGCCACAGAGAGACAAAAACAGTATTGCAATAACCAGCACAAAGAAATGAGAGAGACCTCTTCCAGAGGAACCAAAAATCCAAGGGAAATCCACACCCAGATTAGGAATACTGAAGGACAAACAGCAGGGCACCCTATCTGAGCTGGAGGACAAGGGGAAGGTGGAATCGGCATACGCAAGAACAGTACAGAGGAGATGAAAGGGTGACAGAACAGGAATCCTGTGAGGAGAAGCCTGCAAGACTGGGGACTGAACGCTGCCCTGAAGCACTCGGAGTGAAAAAGCACCTGGAGTGGCCACGACACAAATGGAACTGCTTGAAGCTGCAGGACGGAATTAGTCCAAATTCTTACAAGAACGTCCCACAGACATTCCAATCTGCGAGAAAGGAGGACAGCACGAGACCTTTGCCCTCATTTCCCATGCAAGCAAAATGATGCTCAAGGTGTTGCAACAAAGAACTTGCCCATTCTGAAGTGGGAAATGCTCAATGTCCAAGCTGGACTCTGAAAGAGACACTGGAGATCTTATCACAAACACGTGTTGGCCACTGAAGCCACCAACGCATGTCAGAAGAGCGGCCTTCGCTTTAGTGGACCACAGCAAACCCTTTAAAGGTGTGGATTATGAGGAACTACGGATGGTCCTGAGAGAAATTAGTGTGGCTTGATCAGAACTGACTTGATTGTCCACCCGCACTGTGGACAAGAAACTACTGTTATGGGACTGAAGCTAAATATGAAGAAAACGAAAATCATTAGCACAGATGAATTCCAGAAGTTGACAGACAACAGTGGAGAAACTGCAATTATGAATGTCTCTGGACGCCTTGGCTAGGTCATCAGTTCAAATGGAGGCTGCAGCCAAGAAATCTGAAGAGTGAGACCTGGGAGGGCAGCATGGAAGGGACCAGAAAAGATTGTCAAGTATGAAGGCATCTCGCTGAAGACCAAGGCCAAGACCACCTGCAAGTGCTGTGCGTTGGCCAATGAAGAAAGCCAAGAGGAAGGACACGCGAGCATTCAAAACACAGCCGTGCAGGAGAGCTCTGCAAAACTCACAGAAAGAAAGTCCTGGGTCAAACCAAGCCGGAACTTTCCCTGGAGACAAAAGAGGAGGAAAACTGAGGCTGTCATGCTCTTGGCACAGCTTGAGAAGGCAAGACTCACAGACCCATGGGCTGGCCGGGTACGCAGCCTCTCTGGAGGGCAGCTTAGTGATGTATCCAAAAGGCTGCCAAGGCTCGTTAAGCCCACTGACATACACCTTTTCCTTTCATTTTGTATTTGGCAGCTTTATGTCCCGCCCTTTTTCTAACCTAAGGAGGTTCCCTTCCTGCAAAAGAACTGCCGCTGACGGGCACACGTGCCGACTCAGCCGCTCAGTGGGGCTTGTTCCCCAGCCAGTGGGCCGTGTTTGCAGACTGCTGGTTCACTGCTTGTTTTCCTGCATCCAGATGCCACAGAGAGAGGTTTCCCTGTGGAAGACATCCATCTTTTTAAAGGACTATCCACGAAATTTTAATTTGTTTTTGAAAGACTTTTATTATGCAAATACAATCTAAAAATTGGGCACAGATTTAGTCATCAATTTAAATGTGGCCTTACAGGAGGCGGGGCTCTTCCGGGGCTCGTGATGGGGCAGCGCGGGGAGTTCTCCTCCTCTCCCGCTCACAGTCCTTGGCAGCAGGAGGGCGCAAGAGAGCAGAGCAGCCCCAAAGCACCCCCAGCCCGGAGGTGCCAGGATCCGTGCCTCGGCAGGGCAGGATGCCCGCCCACCTGGCCCCAGGCCAGCAAGCTCTTCCCACAACGTTCTGCTGTAAAACCTAAGTACTATTTAAACAATGGCTGAGTGGTGACTACTATTTCAAAAGCTATGCATATATACCTTAATTACTGGGCTGGAAATCCAGGATATCTCCAACTAGAAAATACTGCAAAGAACTGTTTCAACCGCAACAGTTCCAGTGTTGCTGTTACTGCCAACGAGTCGAGCGGGTTGTCCGGAAGCGTCTGAACTTGGCACGCCAGCTCATGATCAGTGCAGGTGCGGCAGGGATGCCCTGCCGCATTTGGCTCAGTGGATTAAAAATGATTTTCCCTAAACCCCGTTCTTGCGCAAGGTACGTCGAAGGCGTCCTTCCCTGACCCTATTCACAGCGTATGTACAGGGCAGCACCGGGACGTGAGCCGCAGTCCGCTGCTATTTATGTGCCAGCCGCTTCCATTTGTTCCTTTGCCGCCTCTTGCATGCCAGTGCGGAAAGCTTCCCAGGGGGCCTCCGTGCTCTCCTCCCCGTGAAGTTCGCCCCAACATGGTCCGAGCAGGAGAGCTGCCCACGCCGGTTGGAGCTGAGCGCCGTGTCGCTTCGGTGGTCCTTGCAGAACGAGTTTGGGCAGAAGTGGCAGAAGGAGGCCGAGGGCTTGCCGCAGACGTCGCAGTGGTGCCACGGGCACTCCCACCTCCCTGCCGCGACAAAGAGATACAAGCGGTTTGTTGGAGAAGCACCTGGATGGCGCCAGGTATTACAAAGACATGCCAGGGTTGCCCGTTTAAAGGCAGGCATTTTGCCTTAACGACGGTTTGGGCAATAAGCCAAAGAGACCCTTTCGGGAAGGTGCTCCCCTGCCAGGTAGGACACGAGTTGGTGGACAGGCAGTGCATGGAGAAAAGCCATGACATGCACCGGGTCTGATCCCACAGCAAACGGCAGCTGGAAAGCACATACCAGGGTGGAGCTGGAAAGACGCACGGGTGTCCCGGAGCCTGAGCCCCCCCCCGAGCCTCCACCACAGGCCACCTCCTCCATGGGGACAGGCTGCCTGCAGCTCTGCGTGCATTCACCCCCAGGTCCATTCACGGGTGCTGGCTGTGCACCCGGCTCCCTTCCCGTCGGCAGCCCCGGGAATCGGCCTGCTCCCCGCAGGTGCCCTCGGACGGAGGCAGCCTGCTTGCGCACGCCTGGTGCTGAGCTGGGCCAGCTGGCGGGCTCCTGGGGGAGCTGGTCTGCCGCCACGTGTCCCGAGGGCTGGACTGCGTGGGCCTCTGGTCGGATCCAGCAGGGCTGTTCGTGTGCACTAGTAACAATGCTCTCCCTGGGCGGCTGGAGACTGGATCTTCAAAAACCCTGACGTTCCCCACTCCTCGCCCCCATGAATTCTGGCCTTACAAATTCTTTGCTATGTTCTTCTTTCTTTAAGCCCACGTCCCTGCTAAACTCGGAATCGTTTTAGCAACTGGGTACACCATTACAGACCCTGATTTTCAGTGAAGACTTCTGCAGGCGTAAGAGGCATTGCGGCATGTTTACTCACCAAACGGGCGCTTTACCAAATCCAGGCAAGAGAGATGGTATGCCTTTGTACAAGATTTTCTGTCACATAAAACAAGTTGGCCTCCATCGCCACAACGGAAACAGTAATCCTCCGATTTTTTCCTTCCTTCAGTCTTTGTTTTACGCCTCCTTGCTCTTCTTTTAGTCTTTTTTCCTTTCTCCTCTGAAGCATTAGAAGATGAGTTCTGAAAATACCCCATGATGCAAAATCAGCATTTCTAAAATCACAAGAAATTGCAATCCGCGTAAACCTGCAGCCAGACCTGCGAACAGTGGCAGTTCGATGGCAGCCATGAAGGTGGCTTCCAAGAGAGCCACTACGAGACACTCTCAGCGGCCCTGCGCCATCAGTTATGAGACCCTTCAGAAGCCCAGCCATTTCTCTCACGCATTTTCTATTTCGAGTCAATAGAAAGCGAGCAGAGAGAAAGTTGCCGCAGAGCGCAAGAGGCTGAGGGTGGCTCCGCACGAGGCCAGTGGCCATGGCCGGCGGCCCCTCCAAAGAAGCTTCCCGGGGCCACCAAACTCCCTGCCCAGGCTCAGCGGATGAGTTGTGTGTGAAACAAGACCCTTCTTCTGCGGACACAGACTTCTGATGCTGGCTGGCATGGTTTTTCTCTAATGCAGCTAAAGCACTAGATTTGCTGGGTTGAAACATAAAAGTTATGGGCATGTTGCTAAATGTATTCTGAGCTAATGCTCTGAAGTCGTCTGGTACCCTGAAATACTGGGATGGGTGGGGCAGGACTGCCGCAAGTGAGAGCTGGGGTGGGGTGCTGTTCCTTACGTCCTCTGCTTACCTTTGGTCTGTCTCCAAGAAAACCACTACAGTTTGCAGCACCACACTTACAGGCAGTTTTTTCATTGCCCAGGCAGTCCAGATTGTAATTAAAAGTCAGCTCTGTCCCTAGGAAAGAGAGGCACTGTTGTTGTTATGAGAGGGCAGAAGACCGGCACTTGCTCGCTCTGGACATTCTTGGTTATTTGACGAAGTTAAAACAAGCCCCTCCTCCCTTCCCGTGCCCCTTTGTCTCTCCTTCTGGGCTCACTTGTTGCATAGTTTTAATATTTAAATTGTAAGGTTTTGTGATTTAAATTCATATGCTGATAACAGTTCTGAACTGCTTTGGAGATTGGTCTGAACATTTGTGCAATTTTTAGTTTTGCCTCCTAAATTTAAGAAGATTGCTCTCTTTATTTGTCAGGAAAATCAACCAAGTTTCCTTGAATTTTTACTTGGAAACCTGGAATGCCGAAGCAGTTTAGGGAAGAGCTGTCAAAGACGTGGGCAAAGTGGAGACGCTGCTGGCCCCCTGGGGCAAACGCCAGCTCCGCACAGGCGTCGCTGGCACAGGCGTGAGTGAACGGGGGCCTGCGGTGCACAGCAGTGGCTGCGAACAGGGCAGCCAGTCTTCGCAGGACAAGTCCAAGTACACCGGACATTTGTGGAGAGGCGCGCTGGTCTGGCTAGGTGCAGCAGCTGCCTATAAAAACCTCCTTGGGAGGCCCAAAATTCCCCCCCGAGGGAACAGAAGGCTGTTTGCAGACTTCCTCGCCTTGGCTTGCTCGCCAGAACAGGCCAAGCATGAGGCGAGGTCTGGAAGCTGAACAGCGGCAGACCCCGTGGAGCTTTGCCGCCAGGCAAGCGGCAGTTTTAGGCGTTCATCTGTACCTGCTGGAATGTCGCACACCGCAAACAGCCCGACGCGCGTGTCGCCGTGGACGGTCCACTTCAGAGTCTCGCAATTTGGTTGGCAGCTGTGATTCATAAAGCGGGAGTAGTTTCCTTTGGGCCCGGCATCGATGATGCGGTCCTGCGAGGGAGAAAGGTGACGCGTCTGATTGCCAATCAAAGAAACCTGACGACAGTGCTGCGTTCACCAAAGCAATGGCCACGGAGCCGACCAGGCCGCGCACCCTTCGTGTGGCTTGCGGCTCCACACCTCAGCACAAAGTGGCCCCGTGCGGAAACCTGCTTGCTAGCTCAGCATTCTAGTTGCCCAAGGAGACCCCACAGAGACTCTTGTTTTGATCAGAAAAACTGTGCGGACAGATCCATTTTTCAGGGGCCTGTATTGAAAGGGGAACTTTATCTGGGAAAAATACAGGATTCATCACGGTAATCACGGAATTCACTCCCCAAAGAGGTCCGCCTGGCACCGTCGTTACTGGTTTTTCGGCGCCAGGTAAAGACCTTTTTATTTAAACATCATTTTAATTGTTAAAATATATGATCTGGCCAGGGCAACTTCTTCTTCCTTTTCTTTTCTCCTCCTATATTATTTATTTACTTATTTTATACTGATAATTTTAATTTTATATTATTATGTTTGTAACTCAATGTATTTTTTGTATTTTTGTATTTAATGGTAATTTATTATGTGCTATTGTATTTCAATGTATTTTATTGTGTTGTAAGCCGCCCCGAGGCTTCGGCAAGGGGCGGCATAGAAATGTTATAATAATAATAATAATAATAATAATAATAATAATAATAATAATAATAATAATAATAATACCACACCTTATCAATGGTAAGCATGTAAAAGTGTGTGATGTCATTTTCATGCGCGTATTTGATTCTTGCCATACATTCCTCTTCATCAATTAACTCGCCGACATATTCATTCACAAATTCACCCTGAAAAACAGAGACGCATTGCTGCCAAAAGGACACAAAGCACTCGGCTGTTGGCTCTGTGTGCCTTTTTCACTCAACCAGCCAATCTTCCCGGCACGTTTACTGTGACTGCTACATCCCCCCCCCCCCCCCCCCCCCGCTCCTGGGATAGGGAACCTGAAGTGGCTTAGATGGCCTCGTTTTATCCCCACAACAAGACTGGGCTGAGGATCTGCGACTGGCCCGAAGCCACGTGGTGCTCAGGTGGGACACACGGGTGATGCCAAGACCCTGCAGAGGACCCCAGCTCTCCCAGCCCTTGGTCCAGCGCCGGGACCATCGTGCCGGACGCTTCTCTTCAGCGGAACTGAACTGACGCCAGATGCACGTCCACACATTCCCACTGAAGAACGCTGCACCGTGCACGGGTCTGGCAAACTCCCACAGACAGGATGAGCCACAGGGTGCTGCTTGCTCAGGCCACCCAGCACAAGTGCATCCTTCCCAAAGCGGTGCCAGGCTTGAGCAGAGCATCCCAGACACTCTGCGCACAGCAGGCGCGTGAGGAGCGGGGCACAGCGCCCGGGAGGTGGCCGCCTCTCGCCTGGCGTGGCGTACCTTTCTGATGTCCCTCTTGGCCACCAGGCCCCACCCCTTGCCGTCGGTCTTGATGATCTTGGTCTCGGGGTACTGGCGCTTGGTGAAGCACTGGTTCTGGCAGCGCTCCCCGGCTGGACACACTTGCGGGTGGCACTCGTACATCAGCATCCGGTTTAGACACTCGGAATCGGACCCACACGGGTTTTCATCAGATGGCTTGCAGTTACACTTGGGGATTTCAGAAATGTCAGCGGTATAAATCTGAACCCTTCCAAAGGGCTTGTTCACCTGAACGGAACAAGAAATGGGGTAAGCATCCAAATGCCCTGGATTGCAAGATTCCTTGCCCTTCCCCCACCACGCACGCTCATTTTGCTGGAGACAAGCCTCCCCCCGCCCACCCGCCGGTTGCCAAAAACGCTCCTTCCCCAGCATCTAAACCCTGCAACCTTCCAGGCTGCCTCCCACCTATGGAACCAGCCAGAAAGCGCTCTGCTCTGCAGGTCTGAGCCTGGCGATGGCCAATGCGGCCGTTGGCTTGCAGGCCAGGCCGCCGTGCGCTTCCAGCACAGGCGAACAGGAAGCGCTTCTCCCCACACCTGGCCCAGCCGCCGCGACAGCAAGGGGACCGACTCGCCATCCACGCAGAACCACTGAGCTTACCCCCCACCATCTCTCCCTAGAACCCGGATCTCGCAGTCCCCAGGCCAGCCCTGTGGCCCCACACCCCACCAGCTCTGGTTACAGCTCTGAGTGCGCAGAAATGTTTCCGGGGTAATTTATCGCACAAGCCTCCTGTTAAACTCAAACAGGTTAACTCTTGGAACGCTGAAGGAATGGCAGGATACAAATATAATGCAGTAATAGCAACAATCATTTAAAGATTTCATTACACCAACTATCACACCCACTACAGACTTAAAAGGCATTCCTGGTTCTCCAGAAGGTTTAATAGGCTAGAAAACATGTCCTTATAGAATCATCATTATGTACATACAGGTACGTATGTTTTCAAACGCCACTCCTCTGCCCTGTCAGGTTAGACCAATGCACAGTGCAGCACACGCTCCCGAGATCCTTCTCACACCTGCAGTTGCCTCACAGGGTGATTTCAACCACTTTTGTGTGGTTTCTAGCTATATAAATTGTGCGGTTATGCTGCAGATGAAAACATCCAAAAGCCACCCTTAATGATAAGGATTTTAAGGAAGCAGACCCACATAAACCAGTATCTTGTTCTCTTTGACACATACCAAAAGGAAAAATCAAACAGTTCTTTTTAGAGACTAATGGCATGCAATATTGCATCTATACAGCTATTTTTACTCTGAACACAATTTATTCACCCATAAATTTGCTTTCTTCATGGTGGTTAGTTTTTAATCTGTCACATAAAATCCTCTGGGAGTTTTTTGTGCCTTAGTCATGTTAGGGTTGGGTTAATTCACGTTAACATTCCGACATATTTTTGCCATCAAATGAATGCAGATACATTCCCTATAAAGACCTGGAGCGAGATTTGGTAAATCAGGATGCAGAGGTAACGAAAGCTGTTTCTCTCTGAGGCCACGATCCTATGCATGCTCAGAGAGAGAGGCGAGTCCTGTGACTCCCGGTAGGTGCTTAACCCCACGCCTGGCTCCTGCCTCCAGGTGCGTCCTGGGCAGCTGCCGTTCCTTCAGGTTCAGGATCCGCGCAAGGCCCCTCAAAGTCCCGCCCGTGGGCCAGCAGTGACGGGGGCCTTGGCAGTTCCTTCCCCAGTGGCACCAGGGGGCCTTTCTGGCTGCCCCCCTGGGGAGACCCTCCCTGCGCAGCAGACTGACACGATGGACCCTCTTACCTTGATGTGCTTGTAAGGAGGCGGTTTGCGCTCGTTCTCTTGCGTTTCTTTGGCTTCCCGCAGACACTTTATTTCTCGAAAGCGTGCTTCAGCATCTTGCAAAGCTTTGAAAAGAAGCTTTTGGTATAAACTGCATGAACTGTTTTTTCACCCATGCGAGCCCACCGCACCTCTACCCATAACCCGCCATGCTCCGACTCTGCCCTGACGCGTGTGCACGCACGCCAATCGTGCGGGGAAGGGGACGCGGTGGGCAGCGCTTGCAGAGCTGTGCCTTTACTTTGCAACCCTGCAGTGCAATATTCCTGGACTGCCTGGCCCAAGGTGGACTCAGAGTTTTGTTCTCAGTACGTGTCCAACTTCAAATTACAGACAATTTAGTTTGTGCATTTTAGGAAGTGGATACAAGTGAACTCTGAGCACTCTGACGTATGTTTCTTACATGGTGAATAAAATACAGAGGGTAGACTCTGGTTCACCGAAACGCAGCAAAAAGAAGCAAATTTATTTTTATGTATTGTATAAATATATTTGCTTGCTTTCCTGCTTCCTTTCTCAGGTCACCTGTCTTCAGGGCCTGTCACCATGGGCTGCACTCTTCAGTTCTGGCCCTCCACGCCTGGCTTCCCTACTTGTCCCTTGCCTGGGGCAGGGCAGTGGGGCCCCCTTGACCTGACCCGTTCCAGAAACGTGCTCTTCCGCTAGGTTTCCATCACCCCATTACTGCAAAACCCTTGACCTACAACTGGTGGGCGAGGTCCTGGCAGGGCAAAGAACCCCATCAGCAGAAGCTCAGGGGCCCCAGGGACTCTGGCCCCCAGCCTGTGCCGGGGCAGCCCAGATCAAAATTGTCAGCACCAGGCGATGCCATTCAGTAAATGAGCCCTGCACAACGAGCAGCTGAAAGCAAGACTGTTCAGGGGTCCAAAATCAACCCCTTTCTGGTTGGAAGTGGAATGAAACTGGAAGGGGGGAAATTTCCGACCTCTTTGGGCAAAATGCAAATTAAAAAGTGGAGGAATAAATAAGCATGTCTTAAAAGCAATAAAGCATTCTGAAAATATTCAAATTCAAGCTCACTGAAACTATCTCAGTGCATGTGGAAACCTGAAGTTCTACTGCTCGTCCCATATATTACAGTCAAAGTTTTTGTTTTAAGCACAGTCATTAAATATGTGTACCGTTCTTAAAAACTTTCCCGATTCCTTTAATTCCCTGGTATCTGCTTCCCCGGTCTCCTTCCATATAGGGAAACACACGGGCTTGATGCGTCCAATAATAGTCTTTAGAGCCGAAGAAAAACACAGGAAACTCTCCGACTTCGTGCTTCATTTTCTGAATGTTTGGGGGAACATGCTTTGGATGACAGACTTCTGCAGGCCACCACCTACCAGGGAAGAATTCACAAGGAGGAGGAAGGGTCAGAGGACCCCGTGTCTCCCGCACGGGTCAGCAACAGTGGCTGAGTTGGGCAGCTAAGTCTGCCTGCCTGCGCATGCGTGCCCACCCATGGGAGCCCCCACGCCCTGGGTACCACAAGGGCAGGGCAGGGCAGGAAACAGACAAATAATAATATCCTCTTCAAATATCCATTTTATTTTTAAGTCCAAACCTGTAATTTCCCAGTTTGACCCAAATAATATCCTGAAAATGAATTTTCTTTCCTGCTTTACAGTCGTTGCAGTACCAGCTTCCATCTGGCATTTCAATGTTTAAACAATCTGGGTGAAATGCCGCTGGACATGACTCGCAACATAAAAGACTTCCACCTGCAAAGAGAGAAGCAAAACGGACCACATCTAAATGAAGAGAAAAAAGATGAAACTTGCCAAACCGTTAAGCCCGCCCAGGAAGGTGTTGGCTCGGTGTCGCTGGTGCCAGCAGCACGGACTGCTGTCAGGGGGAGCCAGGGGACCGAGTCCGGCCCTGGCGTGCAGGGCGATGGCCCTGGCACCACCTTCCTCGTCCGTGCGAGAGACGGCAGCTGTGTTGTCAGAAACACTCTGGACTGGGCAGGTTTCTTGTGGCTGTCGGTCTTGGCCGGTCCAAGCCTGGGTACAAACCGATACCTACTGTTTTACTTTGCATGAAGCAAGATCATTTCAGCAGCAAAAAGGCTTCTCAGATGCCTGAGACAGCAGCTTGCTTCTCTTCGTTTCAGGTGCCGCGCACAACCACGCTGCCAAGTATGCAAGCGCGCTCATTCCAAACACACTGCTTGCTACCTGCCCTGCTAGCAACACACACTTGTTGGCGTAACCGGCCAGGATTTTAGGGTAAGAAGAGACACTGCTACAGCAACAGCCTCAACACAGAAAGTTAAACCGAATGCCCGCCACTGTCACAGCCAGCGAGCGAACGATCTTCACTCACCCTTTGAGCACACAAAGCACCAGCTGACGTTGACATGCGCATGGTGGCTCTTCCCCTTCGTGGCTGTGAAGTGGCTGGTGCACACGATGCTGCTGGACGTGAGCACCGCGCACCCGGCGGCCACACAGCCGTCCCCGGCATGATACGCGACGGGGCAGCGGACGCAGCGCACCATCTTGCCTGGCACAAAGAAAGAGACTTGCATGGAGAGGCGCGCATTTCAAGGACGGCCATCGAAAGGGCTGGGGGCCTCGGCGAGGCTGCCGTTCTTTGGGACACTCTGAAGGCACGCCGCATCTTTGCCCTAAACATTAACGATTCCACCTCACTCACTCGGATGTTTACTGACACCGCCTGCTGCTCCTGCCCCGAGTCCCAGCCACACCGTCGCAAGTGTCAGGAATACGTGCATAAGCTGAGCGGCACCGCGACGAGGGCGCTGCTCCTCCACTCGGAGGTGCGCGTGCCATTTGCTGCAGTGCCCAAAGACGTGGTGCAGCTGAGCCACGGCTGATGCACAACCGTTCCTCAACAGAAGCACACTGGCCACAGGCAGCAGTGTGCTGCACGCCACTGGCCGCAAGTTAAAACCAGACTTTTGTATCGCACAGCAAGCTGATCTGCAAAGAAAAACCCCGCCTCCAAGTGCAGTGCTAATTTTACAATCCCTCCATTAATCAAGTGAACGCAAACAGCCAGGAGCCTTCAAACAATGAGAAAGGAAGGCATAACGGAGCATGTCTGAAGAAGCAGGCAACGCTTGCTCTGAGTGCTCCTCGTTACGTTCGTCAGTAAATTAAATGAGCATCCATCTAAAGTGGAGAAGGGACCTAGCGGCCCCGAGAAGCAGGTAGCTTCAACATCCAGACAGCAGAGAAGCAGAAATCCGCCTTCTGCCGTCCCTTCTGAAGGATGGCGAGGAAGACCTGGAGCGCAGCAAGAAGGCTTAAACCCACAGAAGCTCATTGGCAGCAGAGCACGGGAGGCTCCGGGAACCCTAGGCACAGCCGGACCCTCGGCAGGCGCTTCCCCATGGGATGGCCGTGCGTGAAACCCGCACGGAGCCACCACTGGTGGCTGCAGTGCCCCCCATGCCGGCTCGCGGGTAAGGTGTGGGGCAGCCAGGCAGGTCCTGCTGCATCATCGCAGAAGGGAAAGGAGCCCTCAGTCCTTAATATTGGCATGGTTTGAGTAGAATGATGATTAGATTAACCTAATAGATCAGAACATTGCAGGACTCCAGAACTGGCAAGCAGAGCTTGGTGCTGGGGGCTGCCGCTGCGGCCGACAGGGTGGCCACATGTGCTGGCTTTCCGGGGGTGGGTGGCCTGCATGTGGCCTTGTTCCGAGGACTACGCAGAGCCAGGCAGGTGGGCCAGCCCCTTCCCTGAGGAGGCCGATTCTGCAGCACAGCCAGCCACCTTCCCCGGAAGGCCTCTTGTGAGGAAAGGCCCCCCAGGCAGGACCCAGGGAGGCCTGCGGAAGCCGCTCTCTGCTGCCGGGGACAAGGCAGGCGAGGAGGAGGGTGCTGGCAGCTGGCAGGGGGAGGGGAGGAGGGGGCACGCCTGCCTGTGAGGTGCCGGAATGCCCCCTTGCCTAGAGCAGCAAAAGAGCTCCGGGGCGAGGCGGAAGCACGTGTGTGTGGAGGGCTCCGAAGCCTCACGCGGCTGCTTCCACGGGGCCACAGCACCTCACATGGTGCCTCCGGGTGTCCCCACACTCGCCTGCAGAGTTGACGTTCCCATAACAGGGAGGGACAGGCATGCGCTCTGTCTCAGAACTGAAGTTTTCCTGTAGGAAGTGGCAAATTACTTTTCTTTCAGCTGGCCTTGTGCTGTCAGTCTGCAGAAGACTGAAGGAAAGCACACCCTTCCAATTCACACGCTAAACGCTCCCTCTGGGCCCAGTGTGGCCGGCGAGCACCGTGCGCTTAACAACGCAAGACAAACACGGCCCTAAAGGCCCCAAATTATGATCTACGCTGCTTCAGCATTTTCAGTGTCCACCAGAAGAGGAAAGAGAAAAGGGCAGCGGGTAATTCTTCTGACTCAGTACCTTTTGCCAATGTTTCACTCTGCCTGAGCACTGTTTACTGGCGCTTTAGGCTGGACTCTGTTAAAAAAAAGATAATATGCAATCTTTCAATTTGTCCAGCTGATTTGACACTTTGCTAGTCCAGTTATCTTAAGGAAAGGTTGGGTGGGGAAAGCGCTGATGAACTTGGGGCATTTTCCACTGTTCTGCACTGCCCTGGCAAACTCCAGGCACACAGGCCCAACACCACCTGATGCCGGCGCAGCGCTGCCAGTCAGCGTAGGCACAGGCCCCACCAGCGCTCGACCTGTTCCCTCAGGAAGGAAGGGGGCCTCGGAGAACCTTCCGGCCTTGGGAAGGTGCTTCTGGCTCCAGGGCTCCTCAGAAGTTGTTCCCACTGGGTTCCACACATGGTGCCTAGGATTGCAGCTGCACTTGGGCCTTTGCTGAGCTTCTGTGGGGTTAAGCAAGTGGTGCCCCCCCCCCCGCCCGCTTGCACACAAGCTCCTTGCGGCTTCTGACCTGCCAGGCCCCCACGACAGCCCTTTGTGACCCACCACGTTCTCCCGGGGAGACGCGTTTGGCTGTGCCCACAGCTGTCCCCAGAATCCTCAAAGCACTCACAGATCTGAAACAGCTGGGGAGCTCGGCCACTTCTCTGCCAGAAACAGCAGGGGGCCCTCACCTCCTCTCGTGCCAAGCCACCGAAGAGGCACCCGGGACCCTCCACTGCGCGGGATTTACTGAGCGGGCCCCATCCATGAGAAGAATGGAAACGGACGAGGAGAGCCTCGCCTTCCCTCTCCTCGCAGAGAAGAGAAGAGATAGTCAGCACCCCGGAGGGTCTGCACAACCCACCTCCGAGCTCGGCTGCCGCTCACAGCAGGTAAGAGAAAACACACTGAAAAGGTACCTTTGGACACTTTGGGGTTTGAAGGGTTAGAGACGTGGCAGCTCACACAGCTGTGGAGAGGACACCGGAAGCCCCTGTTCTCAAACACCGTCATGCGGAACTTCTTCACGCAAGCTTCGTGGTAGAATTTCCCACAGTGGGATACTATACAGCGCTTGACTTCTGACTTGCTCTCTTTGCACACAAAACATGAATGAACACCTAACAAAGAAAATGAAAAACGGCACTGAGTATTTTTCAAGATTAGGGCAAACCAAGATTCATCTCTGGCTACAGGTAATTTTCAAACATCAGAAATTCATTGTGTTGCTGAGCTGGAAACAACTCCACTGCCTGTACCGACACAACCCGATTCTTCACACGGGTTCTCTCTTTTCACCCTTAAATGCATCTGCTGGCAGAGTTTGTGCCTTTCAATAGTGGTAAATCGCAAGGAGCCATCAGCTACCCGATACCAAAAGGGCTTCCAGCATTTCCCCTTACTCCCCGTGCATGAATGCAAAGCTGCATTCTTGTGCCCCTCAGGTGCGTGAGCCACCTCCCGGAGGATCCACACCATCCATGACCACCACATCCGGGCCGGACCCCTCTCCGGCTCTCAGGGAACAACCCAAGCAGCAAAGCAAGGGGTGCCTCAGCTGTCCAGCAAAGCAGAGGGACTGTGTCCGGGGTCCGGGGGGAGGGCTTACTGCACAATTCAGTCTTAGGAGCCGTGCTAAAGGGTGTCTTTGACGCCACCACAGTCGATGGGGAAGGCAGAGAGTGGAGAAGAGCCTCCTAGGAGGAAGCGAAAGATCAGAGAATGCAGGTAGGAAAATCATGTATACGCACATGCGGATTTTACAGGGAAAGAGTGAAAATAGAGTTCATGGAGAGAAGGGTTAAAGAAAAAGCTGAGTAGGGAGCTGAGGAGGACGAGTGGTAGAGAGAAGAATACAGAGCGCTGAAAAAATACTCACACTGAGCACAGCAGCTCCTCCTGATCGAGGCAGCGAGGCAGTCAAAAAGGAAATGAGGGGTGGGCAGGGCTGGGGGTGGGAGGGGGGCTGCCCAGGCTGATGCTTAGGTGTGGAGACTCCCCAACAGTGGGAGAAAAATGTGTGTGATGTGCAGAGGCCGCGAAGAACCGCCTCTGGGTTACCGGGAGATGAGCAGCCCGGCATTTCAGCCCAAATACCAACAGAGCTACAAGAGGGAGCAGCAACCATGAAGGGGACAGCCACAGCCTCCGGGTTACCTGTGAATGAGGCCTGTGAATGCTGCGCACTTCTTATGATTAGTGCAACAGCAAAGACTGATCCCACCTAAAACAAATTTTGGTCTTTGCCGGGTTTGAAACGTGCTGATCACGTACAGCAGCTACCCAGTAAAGGCTTTCTAATACTGGAGGTAGAGATTAAAACACCCAGCGAGGCCCACACTCAGGGTACAGCTCTTCCAGGTAACTGCAGGGACCAGACGTGATCATCTGAATGCATAAGATGTTCAAGGAGTTTCAACTCCCCCCCCCCCCCCACCCCATCGGAAAAGACAGAGGAAAAGAAAGGTCACAGACAGACAGGAGGGAACACAGCTCTGACCCCCTTCCTCAATCCTCCTGCACCTTTATCTGTATCTTAGTTCTCCATTTCAAGTTCTAATTCACCTCTAATTCTGTGTTAACTCTGAACTTGATTAGAGGCACTGTATTCTCCAGCTGAGCGTGTTCTCAAGATAGCAACATTCCTGGCATGCACAAGGGGACTTGCCTGAAGAACATTCACTACACACAAAGTGTCCGGAGGGATTTCGAGCGATTCCAGTGCAGCTTGCATGAAAAGCACCAAAACACCGTCCTTCACAAAGAAGCAAGTCCCCGGGCTTTTCACAGAGCTTTGAAAAGAGGAAAATTTGAAAAATAATAATGCTAGCACATGTTTCCTTTCCTTTTCAGCTGCATTTCCTCTCTTACTTTTATCACTGATCGAAGACCACCCTCCTATTTCAAATTAGCTGCCAGAGTCTGGTGAGCCTCGCTTTCAACCCCTTCGGTTTACAGAAAGAGGTGGGAAAGCTCCCTTCTGCACTTACGAACTATTCTCTGGATCACAGGATGTGGACACTTTTTATGCGACCCTAACCATAACTGTACTGCAAGTGACGCGATACTGGAGGCAGCCACGGGGTCCAACGGGGAAGAACTGCAGCAAAGACTCCCTCTACCTCCAGCCATTCCACGCGCGGAAGAAAGGGAGTTCCGCGCCCACCTGTGGCTGGCCGAGTGCCCAACAGCCCAACTAGCCTGCCAGCAGCGTGTGGCAGGGAAGGAACTGATTCAGATGACAACTTCAAAAAGCCCCTCTCATGCGCCGGATGCCTTTCAACGGCTCGTATTTCCCCGTAACTCTCTGGGTGAAGAGGGACCTGCTTCAACTTCTCTCTCACCTGACACACACATTCCTTCTTTGCAGCCGCTCCTCGCTCAGACTTTTTAGATGAACGCAATGCTTCTGTCAGAGCTTCATCTGCGCTTTCATAGGGAGACTCGGACCGCTCATCTCCCGGACCGTCTGAAATCTAGAGAGAAGAAGAATGGATCAAAACAAAGGCACTGGGGCTTAATGTGATCAGATTGCTATTACCTGACAGGCCCTGTGGCAGGTCTTCTCCGACAAACAGTGACCCTCCAGAATGTGTGTCCTTCGCAGTCCCGCTCAACTCTTGTAAATGCAAGACTGCGATTTCCTGCACTTTTGGCTCCACTGCAGTCTAACAGAAACCTGCCTCCACAAGGGTTCTAATGTGCATTTTCTGTTTCTGTCAGACGCACAATCCGTGATGTGCTGCTTATTCAGACCTGCGTGCCTCCTAGCAGAGAGGCAGTTGAAAATTCAGGAACCCTCTTGGATTCAGCTCAGTGTAAACTGACAGCCAGCTCCCAGTTTCTGGTCTGCTCAAGCACAGGGCTGCACGCTCCGCGTTCCTGCAGAGGAGGTGACCCTTGCGGACTTTGTAACCCCCCAGTCTAAGCGAAGCAAGTCAACAGCACCCACTGAAATGTCAGGACTAGCTGCCTTGGCAGAATCCCAGTGAGAAGTGCGTGTCTGTACACGGTTAAAGAGGCACAGCACCATTCATGGGGGAAACGGCTGGATAGTTAAGACTTGGATCCATCAGTGAGTCATGCCCAAACCAGGACTGCCTTATTCTGGAACATACCCGAAGTAGGACACTGAGGAGGCAATCTTCCAATTAGCTCTACGCACATGGAAATTAGCTCTGTGCGTGTTAGTTCACATGTCTGTCGTATGTGTTCTGCAACTGTGATAAGCAGTTATAAACACGGATGCTGAGTGTGGAATTCAGCATCCAGAAAACATCCCCTTTCACTGGATAATTTTTCTTAAACCAAGTTATTGGAAGGCTCACAGTCTCACAGCAAAGGAGAAGCAGCAGTCCAGAGGCCCTCCCGTCACACAAAGGGTTTTTAAAGACTTGCTCTTTGCTTCGCCACCAGGAGCAGCCCAGATACAGACTGGCACGCGAACAAAGTGTGCACAGCCGGCCTGTGAGAGCCCCTGTGGCGCAGGGGCAAAGAGCACAGCTCTGGGACTCAGGCAATCTGGGTTCGAATCCCCACTCAGCCATGCATGGAGCCGCTGAAGGATTCTGGGCCACTCACCAACTCTCAGGTGGTTCTTGTGGGGGTGGAACCGAGAGGAGGAGGAGGAGGAGAACTGTGTAGCCACCTTCAGTTCTTAGGAAGGAAGGAAGGAAGGAAGGACGCAAGGAAGGAAGGATATAAACATAATACATAAATAAAACGAACTCACACCCCTGCATAAAAGGCACATCCCAGCAATTCAATATGGATTGGAGAAGTATTGATCGGTATGCAAACGTGCACTGAGGAGGGGGTGCAAAAGCATAAACCTGCCTCCACGTATGGATTCTCCTTGTTGGATGCGGACTGAGAGGAGAGGTGCGGGACGAGGGGAAGTGCCGAGTGCCCGGGCTCCCCCACCCCCCGAAGCAGTGGCACACGGGGGCAGGAGGGGGTGGCATCACCCTGGCATAAACGGTGGAACTGAAGAGGCTTCGCCAAGCAACGGGGTCCTTTCTGCCAGGACACTAGACAATACCGACATTTGCGGTGTGGGAATTAGAGAACGGAAAGCGAAGAACGCGGCCCTGGCCTTCCTTGAGAAAGGGAGGAATAAATATGTAATAAACAACAGAAATGATGCAGGAAAAAATCAGTAGACCCGACGGCCAAGTTGGTCGGCTGCTTCATTTCACGATATAGGAGAATACAACAGAAAAGGCTGTTGAAGTCTACAGCCTTTAATTGCATGCATTATTAAAATGTACCTGGCATAAATATAAATTTTGTTGCCAACGGAAGAATACCGGCCAAGTGGCTTGAAGAGCATTTCTGAACACGCTGCAGAGATGAATTGCCAAAGCCTCGTATGTGGATCAGCTACTCAGGAAAGGATGTATGAAAAACAAAAATGTTCTAAGTCAGGCTGAATTAAGCAGAATGCAGGGAGAGCGCGTGAGGGCGGCTGCTGGAGCCACTCTGCTCGAGGAAGGGGGTCGAGGCAGGAGAGGAGGCGGCAGTCGGACGTCTGCACCGCTCTGCCGTGCCGGCCCCGCGAGGCAGAACATCCAGACGGCCCTCCCGGAGCGTGACGCCCGCGACAGCCCGGCTGCAGCCCTACGCAGGGGCCGTGCTGCACAGGACTTCGACAGGCGAGCGGCTCGCTTGCGGCGGGCTCAGGCTGTGCAGGGAGGGGGCAGGCGGCTCAGACATGCCCCCGCCCGGGCCAACCTTCGGAGGAAAGTGCGCCCGAAAAGCAGCCACGGCTACTGCCGGCTCTGTGTATGGAAGCCCAGCCCAGAAGCCCTTTCCTCGTCATCACAGGCCTTTCCATTTCCACAAAATCCATCTTGCTGATAACCGTCTTCCACCGCTGCAATCTCTCTGCCAGGCACACGGCCTCTGATTCATGGGCTGCAGCATCTGAGTCACTGTGCCGCCACGGCCTTCGGCAAGACGGCGGCAGCACTCCTGTCTGCTCTTGCTGCACTCCCCCCCACCCCAGGCAGGAGAAACTCTGCAGGAAGAGGGAGCAGGTGGCATGCGTGGCCCGGCAGGTTCTGCCTGGAAGGCCCCCGACGTCCTGCCCTGCTCCCGTCTCAGCAGCTCATCGCTCGGGCGCAAAACTAGCAGCTCCGGAATCGCTGGGACCCCATCACCCAGCAGGGAAGGAGCAAAAGAAGGCAGGGCTCCAGGGGAAAAGTGGCCGCACCCGCACTTCTGCTTGTGGTGGGGAAAGCAAGCAACAGACGAGCGGAGCGGCTTCACCGCATGCAGAGTGCAAACCACATGCAAGAGCCACAGATTCACCAGCGGCGCTCCCTTGCAATGCCTCCTCCTTGCACCTACCCAGCGCTGAGTCAAAATTGGGCTGGCGCTTTGCATTTTCACGATTTTTTTTTTAGCCCTGACAGCTGATCTCCCTGATCGCAAGCTGCAGAATTCAGTCTTCTGTGCACTGAACCAAATAAAAAGCAAGCAAGCTACTCGGGCTTCTTAGATTGCATTTCCACATAACTGTCAAGGTTTTCTTTCTTTTAAGCAGAGGCACCCCCCCTAAAAAGGCAGGTCCCGGCACACCGGCCACAGACCAAGTATTACTTTCCTTGTGCTCCTGCAGCCCTGCATGGGACCTCAGGGGAGTCCGGCCACCCACCCCAGCTGCCCCCTCCCTACCCCATCGACCGACGGCTCCCACCAGCACCGGTCAGCCCAGGCAGCCACTGCTAAGGAGTGAAGGGCTTCCCGACCGAGGCGCGGGGGCAGTCAGGGGTGGGGGCCTCCAGCCAGAGGACTGCTCAGCTGGGGGCCTTCCCAGGGCAGGCCGCGTGCAGGTGCGCGGGCGCAGAGCGCACGAAGGAGCAGGCAGCGCTGCGCATCCCACACAGCAAGGGGGCTGGCGGGAAGGCTGGGGGCAAGTCCCGGGCAACCGAAATGAGGCTGCCAAATGGGCTGCCAACGCGGCGCAGAAGGCGGGCGCCTTCGCCGACACCCCCCTTTGTGCACAAGCAAAACCACACGCGCCTTTCTTTTTGTCTTACACTAAACGTTCTTTCTAATCCTTAAAGTATGTTTCCTTCTGAAAAGGAAAATTGCTGAATTACGGGAGCTCCCCCAGGGCAAAATTCAAGTTCACAACGGCGTGACAATTTTTAGCATGTACACAGCACTTTTGACGCATCATCAGCCCTGCTGGGAGCCGCCTGGAGACCATCTGTGGTGTGTTCAGCAACACGAGCCGTGTGCGTGGCGCTCCCACCTGCTCTGGGGGCAGGGGCAGGGCTGGCCCACCGCCGGCCTGGAAGGCGACCACTGCCAGTCGAGTCCGCGAGCCAAGCGAGGCAGGGAGGTGGGCTCAGAAAGGCGTTCCCGCTTCCTCCAGGGCCAAGAGGGCAGAATTCGCCTGTTCTCTGTCCATTTCTCTGCGAGGCTGCGGCTCCAGGTGACACCCGAGGGGCTCTGGCCCGGCTACCAGGTACCCGTCTGTCCATCTGTCTGTCTGTGTGATAACCCATGGTCCCTCCTTTTGCCTTAGAAGTCAATGAGTGCCAGCCATTTGCTTCAGGAAGCTGCTGCCCTTGGGCTTTTCTGCCGCTCCCCTTTTGAAGTTAGTTCCTGAGCTGCTGCGCCAGGAATCTGTGGTCATCGCAAATGCAGGTAAGATCCCACTACTGGAGGCAGCTTGAAACAGACCAGAATACTAAAACCCCAGGGCTCAGGTAGTCAAGATATCTGAAAGCTCAAGCAAAGGGGTCTCTGCAGGAATCTTGATTTTCCACCCCCCCCCCCCAGAACGGGCCCACCACAGTGGATGCCGCATACCAGGAACACCCAGTTCCATGGCAGCCAACTCTGCATCAGCTGGGAAGCAGTTCCACGCTGTGCAGGGCATCCTTTTTCTCTAAACGGCTCGACTCACACTCTCATTAATACCAGTGAAGGCAACTCGAAGGAGGAGGATCGCAATGGCCAGGCCAAGCCCCGTGCCCCGTGCGTGAGATGGCTGCGGGATGCTGAAGTGTGGTGCCCGGGACACGACGCTGGGCGCCCTCGGTGAGCAGGGGCCCTGCTGGAAAGAGCACTTCCGCAACTGCACGTGGTTTTGGGCATCCACTGCTGCTCCCCAGCACAAAGTTCAGGTGAGGGAGAGAAGAACGGAGCGCTGAAAGGGAAACGGAAGGCACAACCGGGGCGCTCAACGCAGAGGTGAGGACGGGGCCTCGCCATTCGTCCCCGCCTGGCTCCAAGTCCAAGATGGCCAAGGGTTGGCTAGAGGTCCAGGGAAAAGGTGCTGAGAAGAAGGACGGCCTCGGACAAGGTTCTCTGTGGCTCTTCATTCCAGTGAAGTGTTCTGTTTTACACTCCAGAGGCGCTCTGGGAATACCAGGGGATTGGAAGGCTGCCCTGTATTCTCAAAATACGGGGGAAGAGTTCCAATTCTAATTTCATAGCAACAGCCTAGAAAATCCGTCAG